CAGCAGTGTCAAAGTTTTTCTTTCTTTTTTTTTAAATAAAGGTTTTAATACTTAAATTTAAGTGAGGGATAGAAAGAGATTTTATATCTATTATAACAGGAGTTAAAGTATTTTTTACATGGTTTAAGGTTTATTTTATTCTTTAATGGTAAATATTGTGTCTGAATTCCGTTTATATATATTAACCAACCGTGGTGTTTGTTTTGTTTTTGTTCTGTTTTTTTACTGGCATGAGGAATCTGTCTCTTGTGGAATTTGAAGGATCTAAGGTTTTTGCGGGTGGGAGCAGGACAAAAGTGCAAGAAATAGTGAGGGAGCGAGTGGGAATGGGAATTGTAGGATTAAATAAAAAGCCCTGTGTAGGGCTCTAGATTGGAGCTCTTTTGTACTCCTACAAATAGCCTTATTCATGTAAGTAAACCTTAGTCATGCACATAGTCCTATTCAAATCAATGTGGTTAAAGGTGAAGGATGAGACCCTGAGATGAGATACGGGGTAGTTGGGGTGTAAAACTATATTCATTACTGTTTAAAAACAGCTGGATAATGAACTTTGAATTACCATGATTCAGGTGAGCGTATAATAAAAATGGTTTTAATGCAAAGTTATGGTTATGAATTTAAATGTAGCTAATGTTGGGAAAGTCTCAGTTAAGGTTCTAATATGCACGTTATGTATATTTGCTAGGGTCAGAGATGACAATAGAGTATTTCATTGCAGCCCTAGAGCCTTAAAAGCCCACCTGCCCTGCAGGAAGAGAGTGAGGCAGCAGAGCTATGAGCAGAGCCTATGAGAGGAGGCTATTCAAGGACAGGAGCCTCCAGCCCATATCAGCAGGGTGGATGGGTGGGGATAGGTAAAGACATTTGCAGTCCCTGGCCCACATGTTGATGGGGATAGTACATATATGGAGGGCTGGTGTACACTGGGGTCTCTTGCCCCTACATGAGTGGGTCTCCAGCCAGTGGAGTTCAATTAAATACAAAGTTCTAGGCTCTCCAGTTCCTAGAGAGGAATGAGATGTTGTACAAAGTAATTTAATAAATTGCTGGATTTTCAGGTTGGGGGGGGGTGTCATTCTTTACTGTTCTCTCTACTCCCACAATCCATCCAGAGGGTGGAGGAGGTGGGACAGGAGAATATTTTCTGTCCATATATGGACAGAAAATCCAAATCTAACCCTGACTTCAAACCTAATTCCAGTTTGGGGAGTGGAGGCAGAGTTAAAATTGGTATTGATTTTCCTGCTTTCTTTGCATTTAATTTCTCAATATAGCCTTAGCCTTAATGGAATTTTTTGCTGTTGAGATTTCCTAGGGCCAAATTCTCTGCTGATGTAAACTGGTTCAGCATCAATGAAGTAACAGAATTGCACCAGCATACAACAGCAGAGCATCTTGCCCCTTATTTCAGTTGCATGCTTTATTTAGAGTTTTGTTTCAACACTGCAGATAAATATAAAAAAGGAATAACAAAACAGTACAATTACTTTGTCTAGCAGTTAGGACTGCAGTGAGGGTATGAGTTTGCTCTTTTCAAGACTTGGAAGAAAATTTTATAAAACAGTTCCTCTAATTATAAAGAGAGCACAATTTTTTGTAAATGTCTGTCTGTCAAAAGGTGTAAGAATAATCTGCTTTTTGCAAAGTTAACAAAAATCTTATTGACACTTTTTGTATTTATCAATTGAAGTCTCAGTTTGGAGTATAGTATGCTACAAACCACACTGGAGTAAACTTTGACAAACAGGAAATAGTTGGAAGGTTAGTAATACCAATGGGATGAAGTCAGAAGTCTCCCAGTCTTGTCTTTCAATTGTAATCTTTTCCATTTTTTATTTTTGTTGGAGGTTTTGGCAGTCTAGTTTCATACTTTCTCAGCTTTTCCATGTGTGTTCTAATTGGAACACTCCCCTCTATTATGAAGATTTTAAAAAACAGGAAACAACATACTTTTATCTCAGTGCCACAGTAAGAAAGCTCACATCAAGAGACAGGATGCTTATAATGCATATATCAGGACCTGTGTTTGAAAATTAAGTGCCTTGCTCTGATTCACTTGAACTTTTGTTACACTGGTGATTTCATTGGGCCAGATCCTTGGCCCTGTTCAAAACCCTGTGCACTGACTGCTCTGTGGCACACAGGGGCTGGACACCCAGCAAGCATATCCAATAATCCAATCCTGGTGGCAGAGGGCCAGCATTGCCTGCTTCCCCCCCTCTTCCATTCACACTTTCCTGCACAGGCAGCATGTTGGGGGCACAGCCGAGAATGGACATATGAGTAATGTGCTGTGCCCTGGTGATCCTCAGCTAGTGTTTACTAGCTGGCACAAGCTAGAATAGCCAAACTCCTCTAAATTATGTCAGGGGCTGAACGCTGCACAAAATTAGCCACTCATGCTGCATTCCTATATTCTATCTCTCAGATCACTTGCTCTGTCAATTCAAGCCAGTGGCGTAGCGAGCATGGAACATTTGGATAGGCCCCGACTTCGGGTGGGCAGGCAATGACGGGGGGCAGGTGGCAGGAAGAACCAGGGGGGTGATGGACAATCTGGCCTGGGGCCCCATGTGCGCACCCAGTTCTGGAAAGAGACCCCGCTCTCCAGTGCACACAGCTCCTGGCACCTGTCCCCATCCCACACCGGGCCCAGTTCCTTGAGGTGGCAGGCCTATCTTTTTTTGAGGATCTCCTCTTCCACGCCGCTCGCCTGCCCTCCACCTGCTGTGGCGTGCTTGCCCAGCACTCTGCTGCTGTCCCTCCCGCTCCGGTTGGGCTGGGGTGTGTGTGCACCCGGCATGCGGTGTTCTCCATGTCTGGGTGAGGCTAGCTCTGGGGCCGGAGCAGAGCCAGGGAGGTGGGGTAGGCCTGGATTCTAAGTGGGTGGGCCGCAGCCCACCCAGGCAGATATGCCTAACCTGCAAAAAAAATGCAGAAATTGGGCTTGTTTTTGGCTTAATTGGCTTGTGAGTTGCTTGTTGGATAGTTTTTGGCTTGTAGCTTCTTTTTTTTGACCAGCTTCTGGCAAGCAGGGTCAACGGGGAGAGAGAGTCAGAGGTGCACAGCGGGCCCACCACAGTCCCAACTGAATGCTGATTATCATACACATTTGTAAGGAGAGTGATCACTTTAGATAAGCTATTACCAGCAGGAGAGTGGGGTGGGAGGAGGTATTTTTTCATGCTTTGTGTGTATATAATATCTTCTACACTTTCCACAGTATGCATCCGATGAAGTGAGCTGTAGCTCACGAAAACTTATGCTCAAATAAATTGGTTAGTCTCTAAGGTGCCACAAGTCCTCCTTTTCTTTTCACATAAGAGCGTTGGGGTTCTTAGGGATTTTCTTGTTTTGGCCTTGTTTTGAAATGGGATTAGCTTGATTTTTGGCTTATTGTGAAAGTCGGGGTGCTCATTTACCCCGTGAAAGTTGGTATCTGTGCACCCAGGCCCACCTGTGGCTAAGCCCTATTCAAGCACTGAATTTTTACTCCAAAGGCCAGATTTTTAAAGGTAGTTAAGTGCCTAACAATCTGGCCCTAAGAATAGAAGTGGGTTGTGTTCCTATGCAAACAAAAGCAGGCTGATCCAAAACCCACTGAATCTAATGGGAGTCTTTCTACTTCATCAGTGATCTTTAGATCAGTCCTTATATCCCTTTGTTAATTATGGGATCTTGGCTTTTCAGCAAGCAATTTTAGGAGTGTTTAGTTGCAAGGAAGTCTTTTTACTTAGCTGTAATCCCATTAATATCACTTACCCTAACATTATCAAATGTCCCGCAAGATGGACTATTGTCAAAGCTGCAGTCTGATTTCAACAAAATTAAAAACCAATTCGTTTTAAGGAGACAAGCATTCTAATTATTGAGTGTCTGTGTGTGTGGGAGGATCAATAATAATGGTTACTGCAGCTTGCTCTGAAATAAAACTGTTTCTATACCATGGAGATAGGTACTTTACTGAAAGCTAGAACAGATGAGTGAATAAGAATTCACTTTACTTATGTAAATACACTTATTTTAAAAAGGTACTTTAAAAGCATAGGGCTTTGTAACACAGCACATAATTGTCCAAAATTTGACATCTGAAAGGTTTTTAAAGCAAATGGTTTTCCACTCCTAGACTATGTAGGTGTTTACAAAACAGTAGGCCCCACTACAGCATGCCATCTAAACTCAAGGCGCCTTGTAACAAAATCTGTAAGTGCGTGGTCCTCTATCCTCCTAGAAATCTGTAGAATTTTTACAATCCAGAGGATCAGAATGAGCAAAACTGGCTTTTAATAACAGGTAAAGAGGTACGAAAAGGCACCTTCCATCTGCCTGAACAATCCTTTAGTGGATAACCCATGTGGGTATTTATGTAGTCAAATCAAACAACAGTCATACTGTATCGGGGGTAACCGTGTTAGTCTGGATCTGTAAAAGCAGCGAAGAGTCCTGTGGCACCTTGTAGACTAACAGACGTATTGGAGCATGAGCTTTCGTGGGTGTATACCCACGTCGTCGGATGCATGGCCATCCTGTAGCAGCTACGCTTCCCTGTCCTGTACAAAGGAGGCTCAAAGACACATTTCCCTTGGCCTCAGCCCATTCCCACACCCAGCACCGGAACGGAAGTTCAAATCAGCCCCACCAAGAGACAATTTCTCCAGAACACGAGTGCTTTCAGGCCCTTTTTTACAGGAAAACCGCCTGACTGGCCCTGGCTGCAGCCGCAGCTGCCCCCGGCCCGCAGCCCTCTCCGCCCCCCAAGCCCGGGCCGCGCCCCCCGCCCGGCTGCTCCCGCCAGGCCCTGGCCCTCCGGCCCGGCTCATCACCTCACTCCCCCCGCCCCCGGGCCGGGTGGGCACTCTCCGCTCTCATTGGCTGGCCGTTGCTGCTCTACTGATTGGCTGACTTTCCGAGCGCAGTCCCGCCCCCCCCGGCCCTTCCTGCTTCGGCTCCCCTCAAACTCTCCGCCCCGCCGCGCTTTCTAGGAATCTTCTCCGCGCCCATTGGCCGTGCCTGTCACGTGGCCGCTGCCCGTTGCCGCCTCGCGCCCGGTTCGGCCGGGCGGTTGGAACCGGTTCGGCCGGGCGGTTGGGGACGGCCGAGCTCGGCAGGGAGCTCGGGCGGCGCGCCCTGGAGCCGGGGCAGTCGCTTCCGCAGACAAAGGCAGCCGGAGCAGCCCGTCGCGCTCAGCGTCCAGGTCAGAGCCGGCGGCTGTCGGGATGGAGGGGAGGCGCCTGGGAGAGAGGGGGAAGGTCTCTGACAGGTGGGAGCTGGGGTAGTGAGGGAGGGGGGGCCAGAAGGGGAGCGCAGGGCAGGCGGGGGGGTAGACGGGGTCGGGAGAGGCTGGAGGCGAGTGCAGGGCTCCCGGGCGGGGGGGCTGGAGGCGAGTGCAGGGCTCCCGGGCGGGGGGGGGCTGGAGGCGAGTGCAGGGCTCCCGGGCGGGGGGGAGTAGACGGGGTCGGGGGGGGGCTGGAGGCGAGTGCAGGCTCCCGGGCGGGGGGGGGGGCGGAGGCGAGTGAGGGCTCCCGGGCGGGGGGAGAGACGGGGTCGGGGGGGGGGCTGGAGGCGAGTGCAGGGCTCCCGGGCGGGGGGAGTAGACGGGGTCGGGGGGGGGGCTGGAGGCGAGTGCAGGGCTCCCGGGCGGGGGGAGCTGGAGGCGAGTGCAGGGCTCCCGGGCGGGGGGAGTAGACGGGGTCGGGGGGGGGGGCTGGAGGCGAGTACAGGGCTCCCGGGCGGGGGGAGCTGGAGGCGAGTGCAGGGCTCCCGGGGGGGGGAGTAGAGGGGTCGGGGGGGGGCTGGAGGCGAGTGCAGGGCTCCCGGGGGGGGGGGGAGTAGAGGGGCGGGGGGGGGCTGGAGGCGAGTGCAGGGCTCCCGGGCGGGGGGAGTAGACGGGGTCGGGGGGGGGGGCTGGAGGCGAGTGCAGGGCTCCCGGGCGGGGGGAGCTGGAGGCGAGTGCAGGGCTCCCGGGCGGGGGGAGTAGACGGGGTCGGGGGGGGGGGCTGGAGGCGAGTACAGGGCTCCCGGGCGGGGGGCAGCTGGAGGTGAGTGCAGGGCTCCCGGGCGGGGGGGAGTAGACGGGGTCGGGGGGGGGGCTGGAGGCGAGTGCAGGGCTCCCGGGCGGGGGGGAGTAGACGGGGTCGGGGGGGGGGGCTGGAGGCGAGTGCAGGGCTCCCGGGCGGGGGGGAGTAGACGGGGTCGGGGGGGGGGGCTGGAGGCGAGTGCAGGGCTCCCGCGGGGGGAAGGGGGAGATATAACTGAGATTGAGAATGTCAAAGTGGGCTATTGTTGTAAGTAATCACTTTCGGGGACATATTTAATTTTCCAGATATTTTCAAGATAAACAATCTCCTTAAAATGTTAGTGTTGCTATTTTAAACCGCAGGTATATTCTGATATCATTTCTTGAAATAGTATTTCTGTTTTGCTACTTCCTAAATGATGGATTAAAATGTACAACAGGATTTTACTTCATCAGTAGACTTTCTGCTTTTGGATCAGAAGTTGTGTGTTCAAACCTTGCCCCTAGCTTAGCTCATATCTAAATGTTAATGCTGCAATGCAGTCTTAAGGAGAACTGCAGAACTTGTAGAGGTGCTTACCTATGTAGGAAAGATGGCAAAGTAAGGTCCTTTTTGTCAGTCTGTGACTGCTCAGCTGGAAACAAAGGGTTTCAGAACTGTCTTTGTAAAGAATGATAGCTGTTGTGATTTGATATGCTGTCCAACCTTGGCACTGGTTCTGATATCAAACGCTGTATGATTATTTCAGATTTATTTGCCTGTAGTCACTGTACTGCATGTGTCTAATTTGTTAGTTTGTGATATCTTGTGTATGAGCAGAAGAGAATTCTGTTCTTTGTAGAATTAGCCTAATGAGTTTTTGCTGGAAGCAACTTATGTTGATATTTGGTATCTGAGGGCTTACTTCTGTAGGGCGGGTAAAAATTACCTCTTAGAATGTTAGTGCTTGTCTCCTTTTTGTTCCCTTCAGTACTGAATGTATACTAATTATATGTAAGACAGTAAATATGATTTTTAGGGTAGGTGCAAGCAGGGGGGCCAGCAAATGCCTTGTGTAGACTTTCCCGTCAGTATGGGCAGGGAGGTGTTGATAGCATCCATATATTCTATGGATATTATAATATGGAGAAGGACTGCTTAAGACGGAAACATACAGTTTTAAAAATACTGTAATGTAACCTTCATGTATATGCTTATGAATTTTAGATTTGGAAACTATAGTCACATTTTGATGTGATTAAGCAAAATACTTATTTTCTGTGGTACCAGTATTGTACACTTGATCTGTTTGGGGATTAGTGTGAAGCTCATGCAAATGTGCTATGTGTTTACCATTATTTTCATATGGCTAATTAAGCAAACTTTCTAGTGTAGTGACTTTAAAATTAATGAGTTTAAGGGGCAGATATTTAAAGGTATTTAGGTGCCTAAAGGTGTAGATAGGTGTCTGAAAATCCCACTTGATCCCCTTTTTCATCTTTAGGCAGCTAAATACCTTTACAAATCTGACCCTCCATAAATAGCAATTAAGAGAGGTTTTTTTTTTTTTTCCCCATTGAAAGATCCGAATCCTATATTGTAGTTTCTTCCTTCAACATAATGTTATGTAGGTAAGTTTCAGGTTGGTGGAGCATGTGCCAATCAGAAGTTTCTGATGGCCTTTTGTCAGGTGGAAAATGTTCTCAGTTTTTAAGATAGGGAAAATGATATAACATAAGCGAAGCTTAGTTATAGGTAAATCCTACTCCTTTTGGCTTTCTCATAAAAACATAGCATAAGAATGGCCATACTGAGTCAGACCAATGGTTCATCTAGCCCAGTATCCTGTCTTATGACAGTGGCCAATGCCATATGCTTCAGAGAGAATAAGAGGGACAGGGCAGTTATAAAGTGATCCATCCTCTTTTGTCCAGTCCCAGCATCTGTCTGAGTCTTAGGGACACCTGGAGCATGGGATTGTATTCCTTACCATCTTGGCTAATACCCACTGATGGACCTATCATCCATTAACTTATCTAACTCTTTTTGGAACTCAGTTATGTTTTGGCCTTCACAACATTGCCTAGCAACGAGTTCCACAGGTTGACTCTGTGTTGTGTAAAGAAGTACTTTCTTCAGGTGACCCTGGTCCTTGTGTTATGTGAAACAGTAAATAATGCTTTTTCTTGACAACATTCGTGATTTTATAGATCTGTCATATCCCCTTTAGTTGTCTCTTTTCCACGCTGGACAGTCTTAATCTTCTTAAATGCTTGTCATAAAACACAGCTTACCAGATATTGATTAACTGCAGTGGGTAAGGTTCACCTAGAGGACCAAATCCTCATATGGTATAAATAGCCATATTTCCAATAAGATCATTGGAGCTACTGCAACTTAATGCTATCTGAGGATCTGACCCAGAGACTTTAGTGTGTCAAAATCTTTGGGTTTTGCCCAATGTACAGCTAGTTAAGGAAATTGTCTAATCTTGTAGTTCTACCTTTTAGTTCTGTTCTGCCACCAGCTGGAATTTTGCCTCCTTTCTTTACTTTCCAAATTACCAAAATGTTCGTACTGGATCCTTTTCATTAAGATGTAAAAATGTTAGTTTTCTTTATGCAGATGATGTGATACTCAATTACTCTGCTCCCCTTCCAGATATTCTGTAGTTTACAAAATCTTTCTTTCGGTTTCTAACAGTTCATCCATTTTGGATAGTGAATGGAAAGTAGCTCAGTCAATCTCCAGACTCAAAATTGTCTCCTTTCAGAATCAGAAAGGAATCAGTCAAAGTAAGTAAGACTCTTCAAGATTTGTAGTACTTGAGGTTTTTAAGCTTCAGCAATAAGAGAAACTGTTGTGACAGGTATGGCAATGTCTAGCCACATCCTTGGGAGACCTTACTGAATTAAGTTTGTCTTTGGGCTCCATTATATTAAATGCATGGCTTATGTATTATTTTGGGCCGAAATTGCGTGTAACCTCTCTAGGTGACATTTGTGAGACCTGGATGTTCAAAGGACTGTATTGAAAATGTGCCAGACAAGAATGGACTTCTGGGTCTGTAAATGTTAAATGGATTTCCAAGGGGAATATCTAGGGAGAGGTTAATGCAAATTCCCCACCTTCAATTACACAAAAACCCAGCCTTTTGAAGCTACATACATATCTGCTGAAGATTACCTGTTCCTGGAGACTGGTGATCAAAGTCCTGACCTGTATAAAGAAACAAGCTTTTCTGCCCAGTCTCAGTTCTGAATCTGAGATAGTTATGAATTTGTAACTATGGTAAAGTCACAGTTGTGGGCTTTGCAGGACTAATGCCTACCAAACGCCAAGATTGGTGTTAAGGATTGCCTCTGGTAAGCTTTTTAGCATGTGTGTAGATTTTTGTTCTTAATATTTTCTTTGTAATACTTTCACCTTAATAATAAATGTGCTTGCTTAGAAAGAGCTATGGGGTAACTTATAACTGTGGGCGATTATACGGGTCATAGCTTCTGGAGATACAGCAAAATGCAGATTCTAGTCTTTTAGGGAGTCTGGCTTGCTGGGGATATCCGAGTGTTAATCAGGTAGCTGTATAGCCTTTAACACCCTGGTCAGGAAGGAGACAGACACGGGTTTCTGCCCAAGAGAGATGGTGGCTGAACAGTTGGGAGCCTACAGTGGGTCCCCTTGGTGGACAACTGAGGGGAAATAAAGGTTCACTTACCCTGAAACTATGACAGCTGTCACAGATCATACAGGGAGCATATCCCATGCATCATACTTGGAGCTCAAAAATCTGTCCTTGTACACAGATTTAAATGCTGGCTCAGTGACAGCTAGTAGGCAAGCTGGAGCTGTCGTATGTTAGCTTCAAGAAACTCCTGAAAGCAGCTATATGATATTGTAATCTAAATTAGAATTCATGTCCAGTCTGATGTTTGGTATGATGTTTGGAAGTCTTTGTATATACATCTCAGAGATTACTGCAGAGTTTAGCATGATTAGCAGCCCTTGCTCAAAGACTGACGGACGGATGGTTGTTTTAGGTCACTAGTGGAGTAAGGTTTGCCAATGCACTATCTGAGAAGCTTAAATAAATCTTGCCCTCAGTGACTACTGGTTTGGTGAGCATGGTTTGGCCTTCATTTTTGAGTGCTAATGTTCTGTCAACTTTTTTGAAAGGTAAGATTTTTATATATTCCAGATTCCTGTTTAAATATTTTGTAAACTTTAGATATTTCGTATATACTATAGGCTTGCAAAGAACTGAGGTTACTTGACTGCACTAGGAGATGCAGTTACACTTCTTGTCTAAGTGGAAACCTTAAGTCTTCTAGCTAATGTTGAGTTTGTGAGGGGAAAAATGGGTTTAACCAGAGTTTTATAGCAGCTATGCTTGTTTTTTCCCCTAAAGGATGGCTGTACTAATGGAAAAACAAAGTGTTCTTATCTTAACAGCTTTGCCATGTATATCGGGCATAACATTTCAGTGGTGCTCAATATACCAACTGTTGTTGTTTCATTATAGTTCCTGTGAAAGTTTGGAAAATTCAAAAGAGCACTATAGCAGCAGAGAGCTGTACTGGAGGTCTAGTCATGAAGTGATTAATACCACCTAAGCTTGAAATTAACAAAATGTTGACTTGTTTGGCTACATCCTGCCTGTAGCCAAAAATTAGACCAATACCTCGTTTATGCTAACAGCTCTAAACTATGCTACATACAGTCTTCATGGGAAACAGTTGTTATACTTAATTGTGGTACATCCACACTTGATCACATCTCTTCAGGGAGAAGCTCCTTTCTCTCTTCAGATCTGGAGATTCAGTAGGCTCTCCAGAACTCTGAGGATTGTTGCAAGTATGGGGAAATAGGGAATTTTCCTTGACCGCTCTTAATTGGCTAGGGAGTCTTGCATACCGATAGGGTCCAGGGCTTATAAAATTTGCATGACACCGACTAGCCAGAGAGTTAGAGTTCTTAGCCAAAAAACTCTTCCCCTTACCTTGCAAGAGTTTAAAGGAATAAAATTAAAGCCTTCTGGACAGTTTAATTGTGTATTCTTTTCAAGACATATCGTGTTGTTCATCTAGTATCCCAAATATACACAGTGCTTTACAAATGCAGAATAATGTACAGCATGGATAAGGATTTTGATGCATTAATGTAAAGTTAGAGGGAAATATAAACTGAAATATAGTAACTGGATGCCACAGAGAGGTGTGTGCTAATTTGTATTGTATTCCATACTTGCAGGCATAGCTTCCCTTCAGGAACTTTCTTGAAAATTGTTTAGTCTTACCATGTTTAAGTATAAAAAAACCCCCAATCATAAGCCTGATATCATTGGCAAGAAATTCTACAGCTGCAGTACTGTCCCTTAAAATGTTCTGTTTCCTATCTGTGAGTGTAAACTAGGGTTATTTTCAGGTGTGTTATCCCTGTGGAAGTTGAGGTAGTCTCTGAGGTAGATAGTTTCCATTCCGTTGAAGGAAGCTTTGCAAAACTGCAAATGAAAGTTCTTCCAGCCCAGGCTCAAAATCCACTCATCCACCCTTGAACATTATAATGAAAAACTAATATTCTTTTTGCCCGTCAGCTAAAAAGCCCCAACCCAATATTACCTGTTGGTAAATGAGTGAATAGAACTTTATAAAGCACTTAAATCTGTAAGGCTGCTTTAAGATCAGGACTTTGAATTCAGTTTTGAAACTAATTGGGAGTCAGTTAGTATGGCATAGGCATGGCCTCTTTTATATCAGCCGTAGCTTTGTGTGAGACATGCTGTGTCATCGTTGGAGGCAGTGTTATCCAGTGATAAGACATTGGTCTGGGACACCAGAAGTTCTGGGTTCAGTTTTCAGCTTTGCCAGATACCTGCATGATAGCCTTGGACAACTCACTTTCCCTCTCTGCCTCAGCTTCTCTTTGTGGGGGTTGGGGGCTGGGAAAGCTCTTTCCTGTTTCCACTTCAGTGAAATCTCCTCCTTCCCATATTCTCAGGCACAGAGGGAAGAGAAAGGGGTTGGGGAGAATAAGAAAAGAACAGGAGTGAAAGAGGTAATGTGTGGGGCAGAAGAGGGACAGACATGAGTGAGGAAGGGACACAGACCCAAAGGGAAGAAATGTGGAGGACACAGAAGGAAGAAACTCAAACATTAGAACTTGTTTTCTGCAGCTCTCGGACTTTCTGCTCTGGGCTCTGAAGAGCTACCTTTCTGCATTCTCCCCTATTCCGTCTCTAGATCTTCTTTCACTCTGCCTTTTGGGCTCCTACTCAGTTCTGTGTACGTTTGCAATCACTGGAGGACTGGGGCTTGCCCTCTAGTGTTGTAACTTGAACATTTTTTGTTCAGTAACACTAAAGCTCTCAACTCAGGCATGCTGCTGTCATCATTGTATTACATAAACAGTACTTCTGTTTACAACTGGATTTTTGAAACCTGGTGTGAAGTGTTCGGAAATCAACTAGGTGGGAAGCACAGTACTAAAATTTCTTGCTGTATATTACCCTTTCAAAATTATTTTGGATTACTTGGCACTCCGTTGGTAGTGCATTTACATACAGTGAATGCTATTTGCATATAGAAACATGGCCTTCATTGACTCTGAAATAATTATTTTATAAGTAATGGAAAAGGAAATTATTTTCACTTATACATGTCAAATTCCTAGTTATCTAGGACTGCCAGTGTTGTCACGAGGAACTGTCTTTTATTCAACTCTAAAATACCTTGCATATTTATGGAAGGGAAATAAGGCATAGATAATATTTTAATAGGCATAGCAATTCTGAGTAAATGTGATTTGTTTTTTTCCTGGCTATTAAAATAGGACTGCTATAGTTATGTAAACTATCATCATGTTTTCATTGCTGCCATGTTATTTTGAGGTAAATGCTCTTTCCTCAAGGAAGCTTGATGTTGTGTTTTTGTAAATATTTGCTTTAGAGTTATGTGTATTCATAATTGGTTTTCTGCTCGTCTGCATTATTTTTCATGAGTAGCTTTGAAAGTAAGAGTAGGGTTGTCAACCTTCCAGGATTGGCCTGGGGTCTCCAGGAATTAAAGATTAATCTTTAAATAAAGATTATGTTGTGTGATGAAATCTCCAGGAATACATCCAACCAAAATTGGCAACCCTAAGTAAGAGTAAAGAATAGCTTAAAGAGGCTGCTGCTTACCCATAGAAAACTATTGGCCATTGAAGGTTATAATTTCACTTTGTCTCTAATGATAAAGTTCCCATTGACTTCATTGAGAGCAGAGTTAGGAAAATGCTGAGTGCTTTAGAGAAATCCTCCCCTAAAAATATTGAATGAATGCTATTTCTAGTTGCACATATCAATCTCACTACTTTTGTTTAACACTTGTTAATCTTGTAGATAGGCCCTGTGTCACACTGACTTCCTCGCTGGCTGGACAATGGTTTCTTGATCTGGTCAGTCGTTTGCTGTGGAGTGGTCCAGAGCTCACAAGTACTGCCATTTGTTCAGAACATTAAGACCAATACTTGGTCACCCCCCTGTAGATGACTGAAGTTCATACCCTAGCTTTTAGTGAGACAGCTACAGATGCGGTATATTGTTACTGAAATACTTTTTTATACCCTCTAATAGGAGACATCAGACTTCCTTAGTCATTATCTGGAAGTATGACCCCATCTCAAGTTACCTTTGAAGTAAGAGGAACAGCAGAACCAGGTACAGAAATCACACTTGTCGTCATATACGTGTGTGTGTGTGTTGTAAAACTAGAAGAAAATCTTCAAGCCATACAGTTAAAAATATTTTTTTATTTTAGTTAGAGGGCAAAGAATCATATAATTTTGATACCTAGGATGACAAGGTTCAGGAGGGTGGATTGGTAAAGAGGAGCTTTACCAAATAATTGTTCTTTAGCGGAGAGTTGGGGAATTAATTTTATCTCCTTTATTAATAACTTTTGTTTGAAAAATGTTAGCATACCAGAGATTTTTATATACTCCCTGAAATAGTCTAATTAAAAATTAGAATTGTATTTGTGATAACCTTACTTTATCAAGTGGAAATATTTAGCATTAATCCTGACCTCAGATACGCAGGCATACATTGCTATGTTTCTTGGAAAATCCTCAGTTTGTGTATAGGTATGCAGAGGGTTCCTGTTGAACCAAATATAACAAGAGAATATGTTTTGAATGAGTTTGGAACACAGGTTAACAAATTGGATAAGATGGCATGCTGTTCTGATCAAGTATCCTGAAACCTCAGATGTCAGTTACATTTCCGTTCTGTCTCTAGCTGGTTTTGGGATGTTCGCTATGTCTGTGTCTAACCAGTGGGATGTTATCCAATCTTTGCCTTCAACTTTTTTCCAAAATTGTTACAAGCCAAAAGCAGACACAAAGTAGCTATTCCATTGAGTTTCCTCTTTCACTTCCTTCTCTGATTCACAGACAAACACCCCCCCCCCCACTCCACCCCCTTCCCAATCAGTGGCTGATTGCATCTAAAAAACCAGAGTGCTTCCTCTGTGAGTCATTATATGATTTGCCACAAGCCTATCTAAGGTATTCATCTTCTCGCCCATCCTGGCCAGCCTAACCATACACACTCCCCTGTTATTTATACAGTGCTATAAGGCTTAAATTCACAGCGAACCACTCTAATAAATCCTAGAAGGCATCAGCAGCCATTCAATAATAAATCACTAAAATCACCAGAAGCCCCTCCCCCCTCCCCTTCTTAATGAGCATACTCTGCTATGCCAAACTCAGTGGAGTTCCCTCCCCTCTGCTAAAATCAGAGGTAAAATTCCCTTTCTTGGACTTGTGGGAGCTTAGTTCTCTCCCCCTCCTCTGCTGGTGAAGTTGAGGACTCAATAGGTGTTCAGGATGTTCCACTTGTTCCCTTTACATTCCTTTCATGCTGCAAATCAGAGGCCTAGTCTACACTACAGCGGAAAATCGATCTAAGCTACGCAATTTGAGTTACATGAATAGTGTAACTCAAATCGACGTAGCTTAGACCTACTTACCGTGGGTTCCACGCTATGTGATGTTGACAGGAGATGCTCTCCTGTCGACTTCCCCTATTCTTCTCTATCCACTGGAGTACAGGAGTCAGTGGGAGAGCGATTTGCGGTCAACTTAGCAGGTCTTCACTAGACCCGCTAAAATGACCGCCGATGCATCGATCACTGCTCATGGATTAAGTGTAGGCAAGCCCAGAGTAGTCCAGCACTTTCTTGTGACTTCTTACTCTAAATTGAATATGGAAGCAGTTTGTCATTAGGTAGAAGATGCATGGAATCTACATTTCTGTCTTACTACAAAGATGCCACTTAGGTTCTAAGGTGCCACAAAGTACTCCTTTTCTTTTTGCGAATACAGACTAACACGGCTGCTACTCTGAAACCTTATTTTGTGATACTTTTTGCTGTACCTGATGATAATACAATTCTTGCTTATTATGGGGTATCATAGGGTTTCCAGTTTCAACTTAAAATGATGAATCTAGACTCCATTACCAAAAATCTAAAAATATAAATATTTAAGTACCTTGGAAAAGTGCTTGTAAAAGAGGCAGGTAGGAGCCTGGGAGATGATGTTCTCTGTAGCATGTGATTTCAAAGGGGACATTTTGAACATAATTGCGTAGTAGGAGGAGGCGAGAAATGTAGCAGGCCAATATTACTGCAGTTTTTGGGGCAACTGAATAAATGTTCGATATATCATTCTGCTCTTTGATAAAAAAAAATGTAATGTTCTTTGGCGGTAATTAGTACAACAAGAAATACAAACTGGAAATAAACAGGGAATCAGTCTACCATATGTGGTTTATTATTACAATGATATTGGCAAAATAATGAATATATAATAATGCCTTGTCACTAGTCATCTGTTAAAACTCCTTAGGGGACAAACTTTCTGTCACATTTTAGTTAAAAATTAAAAGCACTAATTATATCTTTCTTTTTTTTTTGTTTAAAATGATGTGTAATAAGAGAAGTAACAGGCTATTAAAACAGAAATATGCATTGAAACAGAAACCAATGCCAACATCTTGATTGCTAAGGTAAAATTTATCTAAGGTCACTAACATTTGTTGACGGTTCAAGTGCAAATGTTTATCAATAACCAATTGCGGTTTATTACAAAAACTTCAATTTGCAATAAGATTGAAGTGAGCATTCATTTATTTCACATAAAATAAATCCGTAGCTGTTGCTCAACAGAAGCAGCTGAACATGTAATTATGAATGTTGGCAAAGGTCCTGTTAAGAGGCAAATGTTTGGTTGCATAAGTTTCCATTGCATTTGTGCAAAAATTTTCAGCCATATTTGAGTATGAGGACAGAAGGGCAAAAATATACTTTTACCAGTTTAAAAAAAAAAAACTTGCAATTTTTTAAACAGCTGTACAGGCAAAATGTCCAGGGCTTGGAACCTGAAACTCAGTATGAAGATATAGCCCTTGCTAAGGAGCAGTGTCTTTAATTTTTGTATTTTTTAAAAATGACTCTCCATGCTTCCAGCTTTCACAATCTGTAAGAACTGTTTGATGCCTCATAGAAAGTATTTTGTTTAAAAATGATTTCTACTTGTATGTCATAGTTTTTGTAGAATTCTGAAAACTTGCAAAAATTAAAAATAATAAACAAAAAGGTAGAACTCCAAAAAAGCTTCTGCTTATTTCCTTCTTGTATTTGCAAGTTTATTTCTAAAGCAGCTAGTTGTGACATTGCTGTCCCTAGCAGAACAGACTTGAAGGTTTTTGTTTTTTTTCTAATCGTAATAGAAGTAGTAAACAACAAGGCTAGAGAAAATTAATTCCTTTTCTGTCAGTGGTTTTGCAGGGAGCTTTTCTGTGGGAAATACCTACAGGATGTGGATGGCGTAAGAGGATGATTGTACTGTTTCTGTTGCCCCACAATACTGACATGACATGAGGGCTTGTCTTCATTACGGGGGTAAGTCAACCTAAATTACACTACTCCAGCTACGTGAATAATGATGTAGCTTAGGTTGACTTACTGCAATGTCTTCACTGCACTGTGTTGAGGGGAGACGCTCTCCAGTCGACTTCCCTTACTCTTCTTGGATAGCTGGAGTACCTGGGTCGACCGGAGAGCGCTCTGCTGTCTGTTTAGTAGGTCTTTGCTAGACCCACTAAAGCAGCAGCTGGATCTCCCTTTAGTGAAGATCAGCCCTGAGTTCAGGGATGGGCAAACTTTTTTTGGCCTGAGGGCCACATTGGGTTTTCAAAATTGTATGGAGGGCCGGTTAGGGGAGGCTGTGTCTCCCCAAACAGCCAGGCGTGGCCTGGCCCCCGCTTCCTATCTGACCCCCCCCGCCCTTCTTGCACCCTGACCCGACCGCTGGCCCCCCCCCAGGACTCCTACCCCATCCACCACTCCCTGTCCCCTGACCACCCCAGACCCGCCCCCACCCCGACTGCCCCCTGTCGACCCATCCAACCCACTCTCTCTCATTCCTGACTTGCCTCCTGGGACCCCTGCCCCATCCAACCACCTTCTCCCTGTCCCCTGACTGCCCTCTGCCATCCCATTCAGCCCTCCATCTCCTTCCTGACTGCCCCCCTGGGACCTGTGCTCTATCCACACCCCTGCCCCCTTACCGCACTGTCTGGAGCTCTGGTGGCACTACAGCTGCGCTGCCCAGAGCACTGGGTCAGGCCGCTGCTCTGCAACTGCAATGCCCAGCTGCCCAGAGCCTGGTGCCGCGTGCTGAGTCTGTGGGGGAGGGGAAACAGCAGGGGAGGGGCCGGGGACAAGCCTCCCTGGCCAGGAGCTCAGGGGCCAGGCAAGAGGGTCCTGCAGGCCAGATGTGGCCATGGGCCATAGTTTGCCCACCTCTACCTTAGTTTCTTTCTGCTGCTACTAGTGGAGAAGGGGCTTTTGGTATTAGCAGAGGGAGAAAGCAGGCCTGAGGACATATAAACAAACTTTCTGAGAGGCTTCAGCAGTTCTTTATGCCATTAAATTTTTTTCCTCTTTATCTAGCCATTGTGTGTGTTAATTATGTCAAGTCACAGCTATAAATAGTGATATATGAAATGAGAATCCTTGCCTAGAGCATTGAGAGAATATGTATTTTAGTCCCACGTTAATACTTTTTTCTGCAGTATTCGGCTAAGGAGTGTTGCAGTGATCTTGAAAATGCTCTTAACATTAAGCAATTCAAGTTATAATATACTTCCATTTCTCTAGTGCCTTTCATCTAGGGACTTTACAGCATTTTGTAAACACTAATTAAGCCTCACAACACCTTTCTGAAGGTACATAAGGGATCACTACCTCTCCCATTTAAATATAGCCTGCTGTGTGGTAAGCAATAGCCAGACCTTCACACGTTTAGGACAAGAAATGAAGAATATTGCTAAATAAAACTGCAGGGGAATTTAGAGAGGCAGAATATAATTATCCAATCTAGAGATTGGCCAGTACACAGACTTTAACTTGTCTCTTAAGACAAGAGACATAGGATCTTTAATGAGCGTGTGGGACAGATCTGTGTGTGGGTTTTTTTTTCCCACTTTTTCCCCCCCAGAATGAGCCAGGCCTTGAGCTTCTTAAATGCTTCAAAAACTTATTAAAAGCTGCTAGGTAGATTCAACTTGCTAGCAACCACTCAGTTGCCAGCAAAAAGTTGCTGTTATCCGGAAGTTGCTGAAAAGTGGAAGGCAGGTTTGCAAGGCAGTAGCCAGGGAAGAAGCGCTGGGACGTGCTATCCCTGGCTGCAGCACTACTAGCCTGCCTGTGTAGAGGACAGCAGTGGGGAGGGATGCTGCAAACCTGCTTCCAAGGGCAGCAGGAGCACAGGAGACCAATGGAGCTGCACTGTACATCAACTTGTGCTCTCCAGTGATCGGAGTTCAACACTTCCCAGCACTTACTTTCCTTAGGGAGAGGTACCATGCAGCCATGCTGCAATGGCTCTTCCCACAGCCTGCCTTCCCAGCCCACAGCCACTTACTGCTTATGCAGGGCCTAGGTGTATGCAGGTTTGCAGTCACAGAAAGAAAGAAGAAAAGAGAGAGAACCTTTGGGATGGACTGAGCACTGGCCACAGGCAGGCTTGTGGGATTACAGCCAGAGAAAGGCATATCCCAGCACTTCAGTACTTAATTTGTAATGCTGGATCTCAAGCAATTTTTTTACTTTCATAACTGATGTGGCAAGCCCAGAGGTGCCAGGGCTCAGCACTGGTAAGCCCAGGCACAAATTAAGCACTACAGCAATTCTTTCCCTGGCTGCAGCCTTGCAAACTTGCCTGCAGAGGGTGCTTGGCACATCCCAGTGTTCCTTGTGGGGCTGCAGCCTTGCAAACCTGCTTTCAGATGGTGCATTTCTTCCCCACCAAAATGTTGCTAATAAGCAGCATGCGGTCGCTGATACCCAAATCCCATTAACATTGATGTTAATGAGGTGGGATTGGTTTTCAGCAATATGTTGCTATTAACTGGAAGTTACTAATATCATTGCTATTAAATGGAATCTGCTGTATTTTAAGAGTGTTCCAAATGTTTTTACCTTAATATTAATTTACTATAACAGTTTCTAGTTTGGAATCTCTTGCCTTTGGTTGTAGTTGTTGGTGCTAAACAAATCTTTGCTGTAACATGTGTTTTTTAAAGAATAGCACCTGACTTGCATTGATTGTGTGCATCAGTTACACAGTAAGTTCATTGTAAACCTACAATGGCAGATGGGTAATATGACAATGGAGAATATAAAGTAGGTCTGCGTTCTGTTTTTTCTTAATATTTTAAAGAAAATATTGATGCAAAATTTGATAGGCAAATACTAAATGGGACAAATTACTATTACTAGGACTGAACGACCTTGGTAACATCCTTTTTAAAGTTGTAAGTTTTGCATCTACCTCCAAGCGGCAATGTATTCTTTCGCAGTATGAGAATTTGAAATCGCTGCTGGAGATAGTGACTTGTGGCACAGGTTCACAGCTTCTATTAAGGCTTCCTGTGTCTCTGTAGGACTGGTTCAAGTTTAATAGTTGAAAATACCTAGCCCATTGTCATAACAGGTAGGTTAGTTTTCATTAATCCCATTTTTCTGATGCTCATGTCTTCTGAAATTTAAAGAACTATTTTCCTTTTGGGCTAAAAATGCCGCATGTTTGGTCTCAGCCCAAAGGTGAAATTAAGACAATTCAGTTTTTAGTGAGGGTGAAACATTCTAATCCTGTTTTTACTTTTTAGGAACAGTTCCAGTAGAAATGACTGACATTTGGAAATGTCTGCATGCAAATTGTTCTTAATGAAGGGGTAGTACTTTTCTAGGAGTTTTGGGGAGGGAGGTGGTGAGTAGAGGAAATGCTCAGTGAGGTTCTGCTAAAATTTGCAGCAGAGCCAAATGAAATCCCATCACTGTGTTAAAATTTCTGTGTTCTTGCATGTGTAGACTGCTGCTCTGAAGTGCAACACTTTGCATGAGGGGCAGGAGGCAATGCTCACTGTGTAAACTACAAAAAACCCCAAACCTCCAAAAGTACTCTTTTAACATCAAGAAAAGGAAGAACGTTAAAGTTGTGCAGTTCAAGGATTCCAGGGGAAAATTCTTGAGATTCAGAATGTTAAGGTCCCAACAGAAGGATTAACCTCTCAACTTGCCCCTGTTGCATATCCATTTAATGCATGTATAATGTTGTACATATGCGCAACCATTAATTTTATGTTGCTTTTATATTCATATAGACATAAAAAGAACTAAATTAAAAAAAGATTAAGGTTGAAAAGTCAAATATTCAAGTTTGAAAATGCCAAAATAAATTAGCAGCCTGGTCTCTATCAGTGCTTTCCTGTTCATTGACAGCAGTTAAGGGAGACTTAAAAATAAGCAACAAATCAGTTGCTAACTATTGAGTGTAAAATTCTGCTTGAGCTGTCATTACGTATTTGAAATGAATTTCAAGGAAACTGACTTTGGAATCTGCCTGTAGCATTGTCTGCAGAAGCATTTGTGTGGTGGTTCCTATTATTTAGCAGTTACTGTCAATGGACCTGCCCATCTGTAAACTGGAGGTGAAGCCTTCAAGATGGAGATGAAATTTGAAGCACAGTCACAGTCCTGTAGTAAAATATCCTTTGTGAAACAAAAACTTGAAGAGGGCTGGATTGGGGTCTGTCTTATATCACAAGTTTTAAAATCCCTTCAGCCACTGTGTAGAATGCCATTTCTAATTGAAGACAAGTCCAAGTAATTATGATGATTATCTTCCTAGGAGAGGTTTTTGCAATATGTGGGAGTTGCAGCGCTTTGGGAAACTGGAATCCTAAAACTGCAGTGGTTCTTCAGGCTGATGATGCTGATGGGTAAGCTTTTAGTAATAAAAATACTGATCTAATACTTGCATTTTGATGCTGAATTCAAAATTCTAAAAACTATACACACTTCATAAAACCTTTTTTATCTAATCAGGTCTTTCCATTGTTTGATCATTTTGGAAAGCATTTTTAGAATAAAGATGTTTACTAATGTAATAGAATTTGTAACTTACACACCTGCTATTCCAATTATGAGTGAGATCACATACTGGAGTGGTGTGGTAGCACTGCTCAGCAGGACACTTGCAAAAACTTCTTTAAAGTGCTGTTAAGGCGGATCTGTGCTAAAAACTTCTGTTGCTGTGACTGTAAACCGATAATAAGAGAAGTTTTTTGTGTACTTATGAAATGGGGGAATATCAAACCCTAACACTTGTGTTGCATAAGTTTTTAAATGGTTTAGTATGGGAATAAATACTGCAGGAAGAGTCAACCAGTTTCTTAAAATTACACTATGTTGCTTATTTTTCTCTGATTTGGGGAATAGCATGCCCAGAATCTGTTCCTAACTCTGCCAATGACTCTGTGTGACCTTATGCATTTAACTGTTTCTCATTTTCACCCGTCTGTAAAATGAAGATAAATTGTTTTTCCTTACTTTGTAAAGCACCTCAGATCTACTGATGAAAGGCACAATAGAAGTGCTATGTATTTTATTATTTTACTTGATGCATGCTTAACTAAGTCAACTAGAAGAGAACTTTTTGTGATTTTTTTTTTTTAGTTTATTTTACAAGATGTATAAGAACATGCACTTATGTCTGAGATCACAATCAAGTTTCAAAGCTTCTTATATTTAATGGAATAGCTGACAGTGCTGCATATTTGTATTACCACAACATTCTAGATGTGGCCTTTTTCTAAATGGCTGGCTGACTATCACTACTGCAGCATTGATAATAGATGGTTGTAGCAATAAAATCATACTGCAACTTCATTATAAATTTTGTAAAATGCTTTCAGCCTCTCAAACCATTTTAGAGGGCTGTTACATAAGTTCAGAACTGCTATTCAAGTTTCAAGAATGCTAGCCTAGTGTATTTGTGAATGTTTCTTTTCCTAACTTACTTTAAAGAAAGAAAACAGACAGACAGCCCTAGTGCTTTTTTTTAAGAGGTAGCAAGAAATGTACTTAAATCATATTTTTCCAAAGCCATATTTGTATACTTACCTGTTTCTATACAACTTTTAGTTTTGGGCTAACGATAACATTTTTTGAAAACCTTCATGTAACCAAATACTTTTAAAAAAACTATTTTTCTGCAGTATATTATGGAAAACTACTGTTGAACTTACTAGAGGAGTTGCTGTTCAGTATCGATATTTTAAAGGGTGCTTCTTAGGACCCAAGGTATGTATAACTTTTTAAGCTGGTGTTTTTTGTTTTTTTGAACTGTAATACTTTAACTCATAAGGAGTATGTCTTATGACTCCAGCAAAATAATATAATGGACACAAACTTAGTCTGCGACAACTTACTGTTACTAAATGGAGTTTTACTTTAATCATTCCTACCACCCTGTACCACAACTGCTGGTTTTTGTTCCTCCAATAAAAATGCGTGAGGATCATGCAGAGCTTAAATACATACAAAATCCATCATAAGTTCAGGTCATCTTTATCTGTTGTCACTAGAAGTAATCATTAAAAGCCAGAAACTTTATTACAAAAGATAAGAGTATTGCATCATAATAATGTAAATGTGTAATAGCAGAAGAAAATTATTGGTAATTTAAGTAAACATGCTAAAATTCTGCTTTACTGGGTTGTCTTTAATATTTACATTTTTCATAAAACATTAAATTTTAACTGCCTCTTAACTGCTTTCATTTAAAAAAGCCAAAAAAGAGAGAGCATTCCAATATTTTCTACAGTTCCTAAGTACGCATTTGCATGAGTTATACACCTGCAGTTTTTATGTGGATTCATACTGAAGATGCATGTGAGTAGGAGTTAGAAGGCAGCATACTCATCTGTGGATACCAAGCTCTTCTTGGGATTAAGGATAGGAGAGCTCCAAGGAGATGATCTGATCATATAGTCGTGTGGGGAAAATGAACAGCTACTGTTTAGCTGCATTTTCCTAGAAGCCACCATACTGAAGAAGAGTGGTCCAGTAAACCCACCCAACTGTCTTTTGCACCTATTACGTCTACAAATATATTGTAGTTCTTCACTAGGGCCCAATTCATTATCAATTATATGACTTCATTAGTAAGTAAATACGTGGAAGGGCTGCAGAATCGTGCATCCTCTTTGTATAGCTCAAATATTTTAAATTTCATGGCTAATAAGTCTAAAAATTGACTGGTCTTGGTTTTCATTTTTTTGGAGATGGGGAAAATTTCTTTCTTGAGTTGAAAATATATTTGAAAAATACATTTATTAAAATTCTCAGTAACATTACTTATTTGACACATGCTCTAAAAGATGGTGTTACTTTATCAGTTCTAGCATGTGAAATCAGCTAATCTTAAACTGAGACTTAAAACAGATATTTGTGAAATATTCTAGGGGCATAAGAGGAGGGTACAATGATGGTTTTTTTCAAGGTGAGAAACTTATAAAAGGGGACTCCTGTCAAGGTAGGTCAGTTTTAAGGCCTAACAAGTCGGATAGTTGTTCAGATACCCCAATATTTAAAATGTAAGCAGTAACAACTGGGGGAGAAAGCATACTTAGCTTAAAAGAAAATTGGCAAGAAATTTTTTGCTAGTAAAACATTTTCCCTTGTAATATTTGCAAAAGTTCACAGTATATATTGGTGAGTGTGTTTCTTTAAGTAGGTGCTCTGTATCGTGCACGCTCTATGTACCGTGTGATGCAGAGGCTGCCAAGGTAAGTATGAATTTTATGGAATAGCAGAGTAAATAGCTACTGTATATAAAAACCCATATAAATAGCCATAGTGAGATAACTATCCACCTACAAAGTTTAAATTGCACCTTGTTATAAACACCTGACTTAATTTTTTAATAAAATTGGTTTCTGTGTCTAGAAGTGCTTTTCTAGTGGCTTGGCCCTTTTTTAGTTCTTGAGTTGTTTATGGATATAGGAAAGATCAGTTTAAGAACAAAATAAAAAATACAACACAAATGAACCAAGTATACAGAAAACCTAAGGAGATGAAATCTTAATTATCTAATAACTAAACTCTGTTTTTAATATAATTTGAGATTCAAAACACTTTTCAATCACTGGACTATATTTCTTGCTGTTTTATTTAGTACTCTTGGTTAACTTCTAAATTTGAAACTTATTATCTGTACAGTTGCACTAACACAATTTAGTAAGGGTCTGAAAGGTACTTCATATATCTTGAACTTTTAATCTATCTGAATAATCACTGAAATATCTGTATGCTAATCCTTCATCTAATAAACAAATTAGGGGGTTAAGTATCTCGAAATACGTTTTGGAAAAAGTAGTTTTGTAGTCCCATAATAAAGTTTCAGTTTGTAAATTTATAAACATGCATTAGAATAAAAAATGCTAAAGACAAACCCAGTTTAAATATGTAAAGTGGTTAGTAGTTCTGTTTCACATTTCTTCATGAACTGAGGGTGCCGCATATGCTTGAAACAGAACATCATATTGATATATATGTGAATATTGGCTAAACTAGAGGCCACAGACGTAAGGGCTAATAGAGGAAACTGACCACTTTCACCTATCTAGAAACAAAATACTAATACAAATGAGAAGCTGAATTTTACCACAGCAAAATATGCTTTATAATCAGAACATAAGAATGGCCATACTGGGTCAGACCAAAGGTCAATCCAGCCCAGTATCCTATGTGCCGACAGCGGCCAATGCCAGGTGTCCAAGAGAGAGTGAACCTAACAGGTAATGATCAAATGATCTCTCTCTCCTGCCGTCCATCTCCACCCTCTGACAAACAGAGGTTAGGGACACCATTCCTTACCCATCCAGGCTAATAGCCATTAATGGACTCAACCTCCATGAATTTATCTAGTTCTCTTTTAAACCCTGTTATAGTCCTAGCTTTCACAGCCTCCTCAGGCAAGGAGTTCCACAGATTGATTATTTGCTGTGTGAAGAAGAACTTCCTTTTATTTGTTTTAAACCTGCTGCCCATTAATTTCATTTGGTGGCCCTTAGTTCTTATATTATGGAAACAAGTAAATAACTTTTCCTTATTCACTTTCTCCATACCACTCATGATTTTATATATTCAATCACATCCCCCTTTAGTCTCCTCTTTTCCAAGATGAGAAGTCCTAGCCTCTAATCTCTCCTCATAATAATCTCAGTATTCAAATTCAAGAAGAAATAAGTTGAAAAATCCTGTCCCTCAATCTTGTAAATTGTCATTTTGGGTAGTATCTCTGACTGGTTTTATTTCACTTGAAAATATGCTGTCAAATTAAAAGGACAGTTTATATTTAAGTATTTATAAATAATAACTGTCTTGGGTTGTTTTAAGATTTGCTACCATCTTCCCCCCTTATTTATAAATATAAACAAAAATTCATGAATATGAATTATTTGTGTACAGTTAAGGCATGTCTTGGCTGCATTAATGAAAGACAGCACATCCATGCAGAAGGAAAAAAGCTTTTAATGAATTCTAGATACCTTTTGCAATAGCTTTTATGTATCTTGTGCATTTTTGTGAACAAATGGTTACATACAGTTAGAAGCAAAGTATTACTAGATATTTCTGCTATTTTGTACAAGCTGAGCTTTTTTTTCAAACGTATATATGTCTTTTAAAGATATACTCACTTATTGCGATTACTTTGCTTCAAAGTTCTATTTTTATGAAGTTCCTTATTTGGGCAGGTTGCTTCTGCAGGAAAAAAAAAAACTGTTTGGAACATGTCATGCATGTATATTATACATAAATTAACTCTTGACCTTTTATTTAATAATTTCCTTCCAGTAAATAAGCTTGCACATTTTAGGGAATTTCCTTCAAAGAAATATACAGTGACTAAGCCACCAGTGGGTGTAGCAAAGCTTTGAAAACTTGGCATCACTCTTCATTCACTTTTTTAAATATTGGCAAAATACCATTTGATATATTCATGGGGATTTTAACAGAGCTTTGTATTTTCTTAAAATTTTCTAGTAATAAAAACACTCCAAAGATGAATCTTGGGTTCACGCTCTGCATTTACTAGCAGAGTACCCTAGCAAAATCCTTTGGCTGTCAGTCAGTAGCAGGCTAGCAACTTCTAGTTTCTGCCTAACTGCTAGCAATGAGGGGGTTCTCCACTTTACTGTGGTACAGCAGTAAGTTGTGTGTTAAATCGTTACTACTTGAAAATGTTTCTGGCAACAGAAAATACTAGGCTAACTAGTTTTCAGTGTTAGGTAACTTAAATGTGTGTTCTAGAGTCTTTGAGCCTTGTGAAGTCAGCTACCCTTTGAGCTTTCAGATTTTGTGCCAGTGCTGGTTGATGTGCTCACATGTGGCTTATCAGAGCGGTATAAAAACCTAGGTAGATGGACCTCGTTGTTAAAAGTCATGCTTTAGTCTTCTAAGGCATTCAGCTGCCTTGTGCTCTTACCCAGCTTTTATATGGCACATAGGTTCCATTTTGAGAATCTTGGACTTACGGTGTGCATGTGAAATGCCCATTTAGGCACCTGGCATTACACTTGCACAGATTCCATTGGTGAGTTCCTCAGGGCAGAGACTGACTTCCTTTGTTCATACCCTGCTATCATTGTTTGTTTTTTAGCTTTTGGAGAGGTCACTGGGCTACTTGATGGGAGCAGCTGTGGCACCTGCCTCCCTGCTGGCAGACATAATTTTCACTGTGGGAATCCAGAGTGTGTGTGTCAGCCAAAAGTGTGTGGGTCTGTTATAAGAAAACAGGGAAGAAACTTGACTTCACATTCTTTTCAACTTACTTGTATTTTAGACAATTCTGTTTTCCCTTTCCCTCTATTATCCTTGCAATTGTGATCTCTCTCTCTCTCTGTGTACTGTTAATTAGCATAACATTACCAAAAGAGAGATTAATAATGTAATATTGTGTTATAACTAGATGTATTCTACCTTTTTAAAGCATCAAGTGCTAAATAAGTTTGGGTATGTATTTTGCATGAAGTGGCTTTGGGTGGGGTATATGCAGCTTTGAGCTAAATGAGACCTTGGCATTTCTTTTTAGCAGTGATACAGAGATCAAGCCTAAATTTACTGAATACTTTTAAATCTTTGGCTTTTGGGGTCACCTAATGCAAAAACCTTAATAGATTACATATCCTTTACATAATATCAGGAAGTCCCAGCTGGTGCTAAAAAATTGATACTGAGCCATAAATATTCACAATGTTCAGATATTTTGATTATTACTGTTGGATTTTAAGTTTGTCTGAATTTTCCATTTTTTATCAGCAAATTAAGTTGTTTCTGTTAATCCGGAACAAAATAAATGTTTTCGTCTCTTTTTTAACTCTGCTGAGACGAAACTGGTGTTGGAGCTTATGATGCCTTGTAAGAGAAGGGACAATGTAGGCTTGATGAAATCTAGAGTGGCTTCTTAGCCAAAAATACCAGGATGGTGAACCCTGGAGATAGCTAACAGCACTTCCTGTAGAAAATGGTAACCATGTATTGATAGGGGAAGTAGATAATTTAAGAAAAAAAAGGGCAGAAAAATAACTTTAGTCATTAAGTCCCATTCAGTACAGATTATCCAGAGACTTGGGCCCAACAAAGTCTCAGTTCCTGCTTCTGCAGCCAGCCAAATGATTCACGATAAGCTCTAACTTAGAAAGCATTTTTAAAGTTCTGTTGATCCTCGCAACAGAGAAACTATCATTGTTCTCAATATCTAACTGGCTTTCTACCAGATTCACTAAAACCAAATATTGCCCCCTACAATTGCCAAAGTTTGGGGGAACCCACAAATTTAATGTTGGTCCAACCAAAACTAACCACCAAGGACTTCACTGATAGCTTGTTGTGTATAAAGTTAGAAGCATATTTTTGTAGTGGGATTTCTTAATCTTCTGCCCTGGCATCTTCATCCCTCTTCTGTGAATTCTTCTATGAATACATTCTCCTTTGTCCAGGAATAGTCTATATATGTAAAATATTTAACATGGATATATGGTTCACCTAAAATGATGTGCCTCCCTTTGAGCATTGTGAACGCTTTCTTTATGCTTTTGCTATGCCTTTTAAGCCGTGTAAATTTTTTATATTCCTTTTGTGGTAGTGAACCAAACTCAGATGTTCTATTTGAGGTAATGCAGAAGAGCAGGACCTCTGCCACAGCCAAAACACTTTTGTGTCAGTCTGAGTTCCTCACCAAATAAAATAGATAATTTTAAAAAACTTGTGTTGGATGGGTTAGAAGTCTACCTGAAGGAATAAATTTAAGTAGTAATATTAGCATTAATTATCTGAATAACTATTGAAGTACCACAAATTAAAACAAAAACCTGAGTTCAGTGAGAATTGTTTTCTTATTGGAAAGCGTAACTTTCCAATAAAGTACAGTAGCTATAAATTCTGAGGACTTAATAATTCCATCCAACTGCTCTGCTCCCAGTCTGAATTTGTCAGTTTGTCATAGTGTGACCTGACTCATCAAATCGCATCATCAGCAGTCTCAGTAGTAAGAAGCAAGCCTTTTCTTTTCTAAGGGTATGTCTACACTACCCACCGGATCGGCAGGCAGCGATCGATCCACCAGGGATTGATTTATCACGTCTAGTCTAGACGCAATAAATCGACCCCCTAGCGCTCTCCCGTCGACTCCTGTACTCCAGCTCCGCGAGAGGCGCAGGCGGAGTTGACAGGGGAGCGGCAGCAGTCGTCTCACCACAGTGAAGACACCATGGTAAATTGATCTAAGTACATCTACTTCAGCTACGTTATTCACATAGCTGAAGTTGTGTAACTTAGATCGATCCCCCCCCAGTGTAGACCAGGGCTTATTCTTTAGCATCTTTTCTTATTCTTTAGCATATAAATTAAGATCACAAGCACCCAAAGTGGCATTGTGGGTAGAATATCAGATATGACATAAGAGATTATTGCAGACATTTAACTTTTAAATTACAGACTATCGATGGTCCCTGCCAAGTCATAGTTCACAAGTGGGAGACTCATCTACAACCACGATCAATAACCCCTTTAGGTATGGGCATCAATTGCATCTGTTTGAGGCATATGCATAAGATTACTAATATGCTGCACATTGGTTTAGTGGGATTGACAACAATTTATAGCTTTCAAATATTTAAATTTAGTAATGTGTTGCAGGTAAATAAAATTTCTTTATACATCATGGACCTCATTCTCAAAACCTTAAAATTATCAAATCTTAAACTCCTGTGAGCAACTGCTTTAAAAAGCAATAGATTTGAAGTTGTTTCCTAAATATTGTCTTTTGCCTATTTCTATTTAAATTGGAGTTAGCATAACTTTTTGATGTTTGTCACTCTTTGAGACTGAGGATCCATAGTTACATTTTTAAAAGAAGTGTGAAGAAGGGGAGGATATGAATTTACCCTTGTCCTTGTTCATATGAAGTTCCAGTAGTAAATTTAAAGAGGACTTTAATCTTTAATCCCAGTGAGTGGGCATCTTAAATAGATATTACTAACAACAATAGCAACATAATTCAAGGTGATTGAGTTTTTTCTAACTGGTAAATACCAGAAATCCCCCTTTTGTTGTAGGGACATATGATACGAACTTGATTAAGTTCCTTAGAGTTTTCTGAAATCCAAACTTTCTTTTTAAAAAGTGATTGAAGTCATCCATTGAGTGTAGTTCAGATCGCAGGATGGCACTTTTCTACATATATTTTTTGTCTAGTATATCAGAAGGCCAGTGTTTTCTAAACTTGAATTAGTTCATTCTACATATATTAAATACCTTCTGGTTCCTGGAGAGAGTGTACCCTTTAGTTAGAATCTTCTATTTAAATATCTGTTAGGATTAATCATGTGTATCATAAGGGATTACTGTTGCTTACTAGTTAGTTTTTTTTTTTTTGTGAATTAGAGCAGTTAATGATTTCTGTTCCTGCAGAAAATTGTTTTTTCTATATATTGGTCAGCAATTAATATTCTGGTCTATATTCCACCCTCTGTTGAACTTTTTTTCTAATACATATGTTTACCTTACTCTGAACAGTTTTGAATTTTTAAGTAATATTCAACTTTATTCTTTTTCACCCAGTAGTCATTGGAAAAAAAATACACTGGTCCTGTGAATTCTGGGGTGATTATTTAAAAAGTAAAATATATTTCCTAGGAAAGCTAAAGTACTAATAAATGTAATAAGAACTTACTTATTTTTAATATGTTAAATGAACTTCCCAGGGATCTATCTATTTAATATAGCAGCTCTGTTTGTTTATAAACCGTCTTTTTTTAAAAGAAAAAGTGCTTTCTTGATCTAGTAAAACCTGGATATTGGAGATCTAGAGCTGTGTGAAAACTTTTGCTGTCAGAAATAACTCTTCGCAAGTTCATTGAAAAAATAAAACCTCTCTTTTGTCACACAAATGTCAGTCTATTAATGCAGATAGAAAACTTGTCATTACACCACAAAACGTTCTTTAATTACTATTAAAGATTGAGGGCAGAATTGTGGTGTTTTTTACAAAAGGCAAATGACATTATTGGCAAAATATTACTAAGTCAAATTTGGTTCTCAAATTTTGAGGAACAAAGTGATTATTTCTTTAGTGTTTTTTTTAATAGCTCTGAATGGGTTATGGTTATGCTGGTGAGTTTGCATACTTCCTGAGCTTCCTGTTTTATAACCTTTCTGAGTAGGGTAAAAGTGAAGAAACACTTTGAATATCTTGTTCCAGGGAAACGGGTCTATCAGATGCACAGAATAAGCATTTTAATTGTGACTAACTTGATTTAGAAGCTTTTCGTAGCAAAAAGCTTGTATGCTTTCAAGAAACATTTCTTAAACACTGTCAACATATATAATACTAAACGGATCTTGAACGCTAGCGAAACAGAATACTAGCAATATAGTGTAATCTGCAAGAGAACCAAACTTTTAGAATGCATTTAATAGAATTTTGCAATAAATATGCTTATTCTTTGTCTACTTTTTTCCTTCTAAATTTTAAATACAGTAGTTTAATTTTGACATTTGACTCTGTAAGGTAAGAATGCTAACTAGTTTCCTTCCATTTCCCCTCCCGTCAATTACAGAAAATGACATCTCTGTTGATGATGGACAGTTTGGAATCCATAGTAAGTAAGATGTATTAATTACTTTAAAATCCTTACCAGCATGTATGAATTTTAAGAAGTCAGGTGTTAGCGATTTAAAAATATTTTGAAATTCTAGGTGTTGGCTTAAACAAAACATTTGCCAATGCCTGAGGGCCTGCTTCCGACTGGTGATGCCCTTTTCAGGGGGAAGAGCACCAGCCATGTGCCAGGGGGATATTCTACTGACAGCAGGATGCTGTGGCATCATGTTTGGGCCATGATCTTCATCCTCCCCAGATTCTCACTGCTGCTGTGTGTCAGCTGTTAGGTTTGGTAATACCTTTTAGGTGTTGTCTACACTACAGAGTTATGTTGACAAAAGTTATGTTGACTATCAAAAAGCACTATAATACACTCTCTCTGTCACCAGAGTGTGCCCACAGTTGGGGCTCTAGCATAGACCGTGAGAGTAGTGCACTGTGGGTAGCTGTCCCACAGTCCTACTCACCACCTTTTGCTGCTAGCATTTGTAGGTTGGCATAGTGGCTCACAGTGCATTGTGGGTTCATGGCATTTTTCAGTGGCCCATGTTTACTGTATGCTCACCATCTCTATGTTAAAGGATGGATCCTGCACTGCTCTCTACTGCTCTGTTAACTGTCAAAATTTGTAATGTTAAATTGAACATACCTGTTAAGCCCATTTTGGTAAAATTTCAAAACTTTCCAGTCTAGGCAAAATTCTTAGTCCAGCCTTAGAATAAACATGGACAGTCTGCCTAAATAAATCAGGCCAAGAGCCATCAATGCACTACCTCCCCAATTGCTCTCATATGTATGTGCCCACACTTGCATGCTTCATACCAAGTTCTCCCTCACTTTACAACTGTTTTTTCACACACCTCACAGCCACGCCACCATTCACTCATTGCTCAGCCCTCTAACACCTACAAAATTATCCAAGTTTGACACTACTGTCACATTACACATCAATTCTGTCCCTTCCACTAAATTCTTAACTTCTGTTTTCTCCTGTCTTTGCTTTATGCTCCCCACCCCACCCCACAAACTACCTCTGTTACTCCTGTCTTCAGAGTTGTCACTTCTTTTCACAGCCACACTAATCTATTGCTTCTCAGCAGCTTCAAAGCTGCAGAAGCAATTTCTGATCATCTGGTAGCTGGTACCTTGTGCCCCCTCCTGGCAGCCCCACTTGTAGTACTACTTTCCTCATTCTGAGAAGCTGAGGTTTTCTCTACCTCTTGCCAGCACACACTTTCACGTGGTGGTGGTGGTGTTACATCTTGGTACTTATATTCTCAGTAATTTTATTTTTTCCAAAGTGTGTGTTTAGTTTTTTGACTGGTCTATGCATTTTATAATTTTTTTCTCTCTTACACTTAAATTTAATTAATTGAGTAGTGAGTTCTAAAATGCCTAACCAGTCCTGGCTGGAGTAATTATCCCTATTGGTAACTTTTTAAAAAGATAATATCTAGGTTTTCTGTTTCTACTGCTGGCACACATCCGCACGTTACTGCGCTGCACATAACAAAATTTATTCTGCACCTGGGTGGAAAAAATTGGAGGGAACATTGGTTACAGGTATGGAAGACTGTGCCAAAGAAACTAGTTATGTGAAATCACGCTATTTCAAAGTTATACCAGTATTCTATTTTTAATTTATATTGATGTATGTTTCTTTTTTGAAAATCTCTTGGGCTGTATATAACTGTTACTACTTTTCATCATGTTTACTTTGGCAGATGGTGTTCAAACTCTGGATTCTGGGTGGCTGTCCTGTCAGACTGAAATAAGATTACGTCTACATTATTCTGAAAAACCACCTGTCTCAATATCCAAGAAGAAATTTAAAAAATCTAGGTTTAGGTAAGATCATCATAAGTTGCAATTTTTGTAATGTTAAGTTCCATCACAAGTTAAATACTGTAGTATGCTGGCATGCCTTGCATACCTCAGTTAACATAGTTTTACAACTAAAGCTATAAATAATACTTAAAAATATGTATTACTGTGCCCTTCCCAGATATTCGCAAGCTTTGCCGAACATCTGCTGATAACATTAAATCAGTGGTGCTTCTTTCCTCAGGCTTCTCCCATTGCTAACTTTTTTTCTTCTTTGAACAATTATGTTAAGAGGCCACAATGTACGTTAGCATCCCATTTCTATAATGATCCTAAGTCTATTTTACAGCTACTTGTGGGGGTGGGGATATTGTCATACATGAGATATTATTTATATATCCTTACATGTGCTGTCCAATGAAACAAATAATTAATTTGGTATTTTTTAATGTTCCATTATGATGTTTTAGATGAATGTGAAAAAATTAATAGCTGTTACAATCTTTACTTCAGTTAATTTTACTGTAGTCCTGATTTTGTTCAGAGCTATATTTCTTGAGATTCTTCATTAAATATTTAATATTGAGTTCTCTTTATGAAGAAATGAAGCAGTACATTTAGATGGAAGAACTACTTCAATTTAGTCCGTTTTCAGTCTTTATATTTTTATGATAAGTTATTTTAATAGGTCCCTTTTCTCAAACTACAAAAAATATCCATATACAGTAAAAGCTGTTTTATCCAGCACTTCACCAGCTGGAAAGCTCTATAAACCAGCATTTCTGATCTTCAATGAAATTCCAGTTTATAGTCCGGTTGGCATGGGGTGTGGGAGTGGGTGCGGGGTGCTGGATCGGGGGGGGGGGGGGCACTCACCACAGGTGGCTCCCCACAAGTAGTGACATGTCCCGGCGACTCCTAGGTGGAGGTGCCCCAAGCCCCCGCCTGCACCCACTCCTGCACCCCAGCCCTGCACCCAAACTCCTTCCCTCTTAGTTAACCGGCATTTTTCACTTACCAGCACTCCCCATTCCCCCAAAATGCTGGATAAAACAGCTTTTACTGTAGCAGGTATTATAGCATCATATACCAGGAAGTAAACAGACTGCTTTTCCCAGTAGGTACACACATATCCTTTTGTCTTAATTTTCCTTCGTTTATACTTTCTTTTTCTAGGGCTATGTGATTAGATGTGACTCATCTCTTCAGTTATATACATGCAGTGCTCAAGTCTGATCGTGTTAAGTGCAGTTAGCTGTCAAATATTTTATACAGCTTTTGATAGTGCAGAGATTCTCCAGCTTTTAAAATAGCATATCTGCTGTGATTTTTTTCCTCCCAGTCTCAATCATGCTGACCACCTGCCTTCCAATTTGCAGTTGGTTAGAGGATTGGGTTATACTTGTTGGAAAATATTAAAATTTGTATATTTTTAATCAGTGTGATTTAGCTGCTGTAAGTCAGATACTGAGCCGACACCATGTGACCAGCTAGCTTTTTACATACCACCAGCAAGTGCTCTGCAGATCATGGGCTGTAATTTGAGAGCCCTGTCATAATGAACACCTGGCTAAGATGGTAGCTCCCCACCCCCTTTCCGGTGCTCAACCTTGTCATGAGGCTGGAGAGGTAATTGCGTTACTGAGAACAATTGCACCTAATATGCCCTTGCTCTGTCCCAATACTGTAACACCTGACTGTTTCCTGGGGCACACCACTGGCAGGGCATGCAAGAGAGATAAGGTAATTCTTGAAACCTGGTCCTAGTCTTCCTGAGAATCAGTGCACTGCCCTTTTGCTGGTTACTTCAAGGACCTCCTTGCTGGCTTGTTACTAGCAATTCAGGAGGGCAGTGAGAGGCTTTGAACCTCTTTCCTGTAGTACATTGGCTCTTCTGCTGCCTTGGACCATTCATATCACCAAAGTCCTGATGTGCATGGCAGATTGAACAGACATGACAACCCCCCCCACCCCACCCCCCCAAAGATTGGGATTCATTAGAACTCTAATAAACATGTCTCGGCTCGATATCCCTACCAAAACTGGGAATCCTGGGCAGTGCCAGGTCAGACAAAGGAGGTAAGTCTGCATGTAACAGTTCAATCATTTAGCAAAAGCTTGGTCTCATGACTCCTACCTAGACTATTTTCTCAGGAAGCATCCTCACTGGACAGTAAGGTGCCAGGGAAAGTCGAATTTCATAGGATTTTTGCATACAGCCATAGTAGATGTTCTCAGGGTTTTCTGGGCCTGATAAGTCTGGTGGTAATCTTCAGTTAGATCTGGATGGCTAAATTCTGTTTTTATTGACATGGGTGCATTGAGACACCTTTCACAGAAGGGTTCCACACACAAAAATGTTCTTTTTAGAACCAGAAATTGCATATGTTAAGTGATCTAAATATCAGAAGAAGTGTATAATGCACAGAGGACCTGAAGAGTTCTGGTATATGAAAGGATGGATGGTCTGAAGTCCATTGGATAGTCAGAACAGCACAATTAAGGTGCTTGTGGCTGCTCTTTCCACTGTCTAGGGTCCTGTAGTGGAGGGTCAGTTTTTGTCTCTGGACTGTTTCAGATTTTTCTTTCTGTGGTATTGAGGATACAGATTTGATGTAGAGGCTCTATACTGGCAGCATTCTCTCAGTGGGATTTATTTGCTGCTTTTAGTGTTATGTGGACCTCTTTGTAACTGAGAAAAATATCTCCATTTACTTTGCTTTCTTTGTAATTGACTGAGAAAGGGATTGGAACCTGGTTATATATACTTCCTTTGGTAGGAAACAAAGAGGCAGAAAACCTGTTTCATGGAATGATGATGTTTGCTGGATGCAACTTTGTTTGCTAGGATAGGGCACATTGGAAGCCAGGGAGAATTCTCCATATTCCATGTAGGACCACTTATTGTTTTCAGTCTGGGAACCTTCATAAGCACTACATTCAATTTAATTTTGTGTTTGTTTAAAAATAATCTGAGGTTTACTCTTTCTTTGCATTTATCTTTGTGGCTTATCAATAACACAGGATATATCTACTTATATTACTTGACTTAGGAATATTAAGGGACTTGTGTGTGCATATTCATACATCAGTTGTCATATGCTCAAGGCTGAGGGGCTGATGGTGGCAATTACCCTAGTCTTCAGTTGCCTTCAGGTGACCCTTTAGGTTGTTGGTGATGATCTCCTAAAGGAGGCCATCTGTTCACTGTGGCACCCATATAATTAGTCAGTAATGATTACTATCTTTTTACACAGTGGGAGAACTTTTCAGAGCATCCAGTAACTATTTTTCAAAAGTAACTTGTGCACTTATAAGCCAAAATTAATCCATTTTTGAAAATGGAATGTAGTTACTAGAGCCTAAGTTTCTCTGAAAGTCTGTGCAACTCAGGCTGCATGTACTCTACAAGTGAGGGGTGTGATTCCAAGATTGCGTACATGTACTCGCACTAGCTCTCATCTGAACTAGCATGCTAAAAATAGTAGCGTAGTTGCAGTAGGTTGGGCAGTGGTGGGTACAGTCTAGCCATCCCAAATACAAACCTGCCTGAACCCCATGGTTCTGTGTGATGGGATCCCCAGGGTACAACCTGAAACTGTGGGACTGTTGTGCCCCCTTAAGTCTCCAGCCTGGGCTGTCTCTCATGAGGCAGTGCCAGCCAGTGACAGGCAGTGAACTCTTCTGGGTGCTGTGATCGCTCAGCCATCACCATGTGGAGACCCACACACAGCTAAATCGTATGAAGGCTTTCTCAGTCGTTCATGAATTATACAGAGTGAGGCACCAGCAAATCACCCTAGTCCTCAGCCTTGCAACATTGAAATATACTATCTTACACTGCTTAAGACTCTCTTGGACAGTGGAAGCTCATTAATTAGTTCTCCATTCCAACAAGGGTAGTAGACATGCAAAAGTCCTTATTAGCCTGAGCTGAGATTCTCTAAGCATTTCAACCTAAAACAGGTTTATTAACTACAGAAAGATAGATTAAATGACTATAAGTAGCAGGCATAGAGCTCAAAGTTGGCTTCGTAAGAAATAAAAATAAACTCACAATCTAAATTCTACAGACTGACTAAGGTTTGATTCAAACAGCTTTTCTCACCCTAATAGGTGTTACAGGCATCTTACAGTTCCAATACATAGGGTGGATTTCCTTCCCAGCCTGGGACCTATCTCCCCAATTCAAAGTCTTTTGTCTTCCAGACGGTCTTCGAGGTGTTGAGATGGAGAGGAGAGGCCAAATGATGTCACTGTCCCTCTTCTATACTTTCTTCCAGTTGCTAGAAAGATTCATAGATTCATAGATATTTAGGCCAGAAGGGACCATTATGATCATCTAGTCTGACCTCCTGCACAATGCAGGCCACAGAATTCACCCACCACTCCTAAAAACCAGACCTCACTGTGTATCCTGTGCTATTGAAGTCCCCAAATTGAGGGTTGAAGACCTAAGGAACCAAGTGACCCGTGCCCCATGCTACAGAGGAAGGCGAAAAACCTCCAGGGCCTTCCAATCTGCCCTGGAGGAAAATTCCTTCCCGACCCCAAATATGGCGATCAGCTAAACCCTGAGCATATGGGCAAGATTCATCAGCCAGATACTACAGAAAATTCCTTCCCGGGTAACTTGGATCTTTGCTGTGAGGGGGTTAGGCAGCCCCAGTTGTGTATGTGTCTTCTCTGGGAGAGTGGATTCTTCTGAGTGGGTCATCAACAAATGTCTGGCTGGTCCTGATGTAAATCCGTTTTACTAGGTTGCCACTGAAAGGCTGGCTGTGAGTGTCTCCCAACTTCACAGCATATTTCAATAACACACACAAAACAATACTTCAGATTCACACAATCCCGTAGGGTAGTAGTAATCAACAGATCATGACTTCTCAAATGATACTGCACAAGACATACTTTGTGACATGATTATATGTTTTGTACAGTGCTGATTATGGGGGTTCCAGGATGCTATTTTGAGGTACAGAATATTACAGTATGTACTCAGCAGCTAGCCTGTGCTGCCAGTGCCTAGGCTGCTGTGGCTATGCTGTTTTTAGCATGCTAGCCCGGATGAAAGAGGGCGTGGGTAGGTGTACATGAGCTGCAGACCACACCCCTTGTTTGTAGCATAGACATATCCTTAGGGGTTGTCTACATGGTGAATTAGCATGCAGCAAGCCAGGGTGAGTCTACAGCCTGCTATTTGCTGTGTGCTAGCTTGCCATGTAGACCCTGCTACACTAAAAGTTCTATTGTGCGCTTTGACATCCTCCTCTTTGGGACTGCAAAACTTTTAGTGCACCGTAGCAGGTCCACTTGGTGTGTTAGTGCAGCAAACTAGCTATAGAGTCACACTGTGGCTTGCTGCACACTAACGCATGTGGACAACTCCAATTCTCCTAAGTCACGTAGGCATTTTTGAAAACCTTACGCAGTGTCTTGAGCTTTTGTGATGTGCAAGAGCATAAACTATGAGGTTAAAATCTAAATCTGTAGAGGTGGTTTGGAAAGTATAACTAGAGAGTAATGGCTCCAGGATGGGAGGAGTAGGGAAGTATTATCCCACTAATGTTGCCTTGAGATCTTGGTCATCATGATGTTTAGGGAAATATAGGTAGTACAATGGCATATAAAGTTTTTGTGGGGCAGAATCCTACTGGATCTACTAATCTAGTATTTTGTAGGCTTTTGAGTTGTTGCTGTCACTGAAGATGCTTCGCTAATTTTCTAGCATCTGATTTGTTTTTCTTTTTGGTGCATAGGGTGAAGCTGACTCTGGAAGGCTTGGAGGAAGATGATGATGATGACAACCAAGATAAAACTGTTACTCAGAAAATGTCAAACACTCTGGAGATCTCCTTAATAAGTGATACTGAATACAAATCTCGGCACTCTCAGCCAGAATGTGGTTATGGTTTGCAGCCTGATCGATGGACAGAATACAGTATACAGACAATGGAACCAGATAACTTGGAATTAATCTTCGACTTTTTTGAAGTGAGTACTTGTCTGGCATGTGTGTTAGGAAGTGATGAGTCTTTGGGTCAAAAATAAAGGGAAGGTAACCCCTTTGAACCCCCTGCAGGGAACCCCCGTAAGGGTTAGCAAAACGCCCTGACCAAAAGACCAATGAGGAGACAAGATACTTTCAAAAGCTGGGACGAGGGAGAGGAACAAAGGGTCTGTGTCTGTCTGTATGCTGCTCTTGCCAGAGACAGAACAGGAATGGAGTCTTAGAACTTTTAGTAAGTAATCAGCTAGGTATGTGTTAGATTATGATTCCTTTAAATGGTGAGAAAAGCATTGTGCTGAATAGAATAACTATTTCTGTCGTGCATCTTTTTGTAACTTAAGGTTTTGCCTAGAGGGGTTCTCTATGTTTTTGAATCTAATTACCCTGTAAGATATCTACCATCCTGATTTTACAGGGGGATTTCTTTATTTCTATTTACTTCTATTTTTTATTAAAAGTCTTCTTGTAAAAACTGAATGCTTTTTCTTGTTCTCAGATCCAAGGGTTTGGGTCTGTGGTCACCTATGCAAATTGGTGAGGTTTTATCCAACATTTCCCAGGAAAGGGGGGTGCAAGTGTTGGGAGGATTGTTCATTGTTCTTAAGATCCAATGGTCTGGGTCGTAGTCACCTAGGCAAATGGGAGGCTTTTCAAACCTTGTCCAGGAAGTGGGGTGCAAGGTTTTGGGCAGTATTTTGGGGGAAAGACGCGCCAAACAGCTCTCCCCAGTAACCAGTATTAGTTTGGTGGTGGTAGCGGCCATTCAAGGATAACGGGTGTAATATTTTGTACCTTGGGGAAGTTTTGACCTAAGCTGGTAAAGATAAGCTTAGGAGGTTTTCATGCAGGTCCCCACATCTGTACCCTAGAGTTCAGAGTGGGGGAGGAACCTTGACATGGTGGCACAGTGGTGGGATTAACCTGAAATCATTTGAGATCCAGTTGAGATTTTTGAACTAGAAATACAGAGTTTAAAAGGAAATTTTTTTCTTTGGAAAGAAAGTCCAGAAAGCAGCTTTGAAACTTTGGCCAAGCAGAGACAAAAGGGGATTATCTTGTGAATTGCAGGTTTTTTTTGCCTGGAGGCAGGGTACTTAACTCCTGCAGGGAAATTCACAGTCTTCCAACCCATTGTTTTTTTTTTTTTTCTTTTCTTCCTAAAAGTAAATAGGGGGTGTGTGTTCTACCCATTTGCTTTTTCTTTGGGCTGGGTAAGCAGGTTTCCAAGCAGTTGGAGGTTTTTTGCTTTAATTTGGGCCCAGAGCAGAGACAAGGGAATTGTCTTTTTCTGTAGGCTGACAATCACTATCACAGAAATAGTTATTCTATTCAGCACAATGCTTTTCTCAGCCATTTAAAGGAATCATAATCTAACACATACCTAGCTAGATTACTTACTAAAAGTTCTAAGACTCCATTCCTGTTCTGTCTCTGGCAAGAGCAGCATACAGACAGACACAGACCCTTTGTTCCTCTCCCTCGTCCCAGCTTTTGAAAGTATCTTGTCTCCTCATTGGTCATTTTGGTCAGGTGCCAGCGAGGTTACCTTTAGCTTCTTAACCCTTTACAGGTGAGAGGAGCTTTCCCCTGGCCAGGAGGGATTTCAAAGGGGTTTACCCTTCCCTTTATATTTATGACAGGTGCAGGAAGAGGTAATTTTAAATAGCTGAACAGCTAGCAATTTTATTTTAAAAATTACTAAAAATATTTAGTCCAGAGAAGTGGTTCTCAACCAGGCATATTTGTACCCCTGGGGGTACACAAGGTGTTTCAGGGGGTACATCAACTCATCTATATATTTGCCTAGTTTTACAACGGGCTACAGAAGAAGTCAGTACAAACTAAAATTTCATATAGACAATTACTTGTGTATACTGCTCTATATATTATACACTGAAATTCAAGTACAATATTTATAGTCCAATTGATTTATTTTATAGTTATATGGTAAAAATAAGAAAGCAATTTTTCAGTAAGTCTGCTGTGACACTTTTTTTTGTATTTTTGTCTGATAGTGTAAGCAAATAGTTTTAAAGTGAGTTGAAACTTGGGGGTACTCAAGACAACTCGGACTCCTGAAAAGGGGTACAGTAGTTTGAAAAGGTTGCGAGCCGCTCGTCCAGAAAAGAGAGTAGACCATTTCTTCCTAATTGTTTCACTTACTGCCAACTCAGGGGTATGGGTCCCACTGTTTAGTCAAGGAGTTCTTTACATACCTTAAGAGTCCCTGTGATTAAGACCGAGCAAAATAATCACTGTTGTTAACCAGAGCTATTTTATTACCAAAAAGGAAAACATTAAACGGAGAGCAAGTGATAAACTGGTTACTTCCATTACAATCTCTTCCATATCATCAATATATTGTGACTTCAGTATATTTGTAGTTAACTAAGAATGTTTATAGATGGTCAAAATAATTTGTGTCAGGGCAGGTGTACCTGTTGGTTATTAATAAATAGCCAGTCAGTTGGTAAAGAAGCAACTGTAACTACATCTATGAAATCAAAGAAGATATTTAAATCAGTTCCTTAGAAGAAGCCATTTAAGGAGCTGTCTTGAGACAAGCCAGTTAACCATTATTAAGAACCTTAAATCCACATAACTCCCACTATTTCTGTTTACCAATATTTATCTGTCTTCTGTGCAGGAATACGTGGACTAACCACTTGGTGATTAGCAGGAGAAAAACTGCTACTATTTTAAGTTACAACATCATTTCACTATTCCAACAAAATCATTACAAGGGGTTTTTTTGTTTGTTTTTTTGTTTTTTTTTTTAAATCTAATAGTTTGGCAATGTCTTAGTTAACTTTCTCTCACCAATCCCTGTTGAAGTTTTTGGGAAGATTTTCCTTGGGTTGGTTTCTTTTTGAGTCTGCTCTGTTTCTTATGTGTCTGTGGCAGCTTGTTTGTAGAGATGGACAGGATGAGTTGCAAAGTGCTTGCTGTCTAAGCAGAGTAATAGGGTGTGTATAAGGGGTACTCACTCCAGAGTTTTATACTCTTTTCTCCTTCCTAGTTCTGTAAAATTATAAGAGAAAACACCTCTGTAAGCTTGTTTAGATTCCAGGTTGATTGCTGTCACCCTTTAATTGGTTTTGTGTCTTCATGGTAGTTCTAGCAGCCCCTTCATCTTTAAGAATATATAGTTTGTTAATACATATACAATTTTCTGTATTTTTGTGGCAGGAAATATTCAGATAGTGCTTTTAACCAATCAAAAGTTTCTTTTTATTTAGTCCACTTTCTGACAGTCTTTCAGTTTTATTAGATTTTGACCATTAATATATAATTTTATTTTCAAAAAGTCTAAACACTCCTGTTTCTTCTGTTTTAGTCCTCAAACAGTTTTTTTCAAATTAAATAGTTCTTATAAAGGCTTCAGTGTTAAAGTCATTGGCTCTTAACAGAGTTTGGAGAGAGAATTCTTGTCTTCCAAAAGTGGATGAGTGTTTGCTTGGGCACTGTCAGTAATTATATTTGTGTGAAATTAAATAGTCTGTATTTAAATGGCTTCCTGAATTAGTAATTAGTTTAGCATCAAATGACTGTGCTATACTTGTACATACTATTCATATAACAATATCAAGCAGTTATTATATGAAGGTTTGCAATTAGATACAAAATATTTGCAAATATACATTTTAAAAGAAACTTATGCCATCTTAATCACTTGAGAAACAGCAAAGGTTTTTACCTTTAAGTGGAAACGTGAGTTTGAAGTGACCAATATCTTCTGTAAAACATCTGACCATAAATGTTCTCAAAGACTAAAGAATGATGACTTCAGTTGATGTTCAAAATGAAATATTCATATTGAAATTGATTTTAGAATTCTTTGAGTTTAAACTAAGGTTTTTCTTTGTGAAGATGAGGGCTAAATGATTCATTTTTATGATTTGGTTTATATCTCAGATAGCACATCCTGAGCATTACTTCTTTTTGCGGTGTTCTACATGAAACATCCTCACATTCTTTTATTCAACCAGGTCTCTTTCCAGACATAAATATCTTAAAGTCTCTTTTCTTGAGAGAAAGATCGTATCTGGACTAACTCACATTGGGTACATGGGGGTGTGTCCTTGTCTGTGATAAGATACACTAATGATTTGCAAAAAGAAAAGTAGGACTTGTGGCACCTTAGAGACTAACAAATTTATTTGAGCATAAGCTTTTGTGAGCTACAGCTCACTTCATCGGATGCATTCAGTGGAAAATACAGTGGGGAGATTTATATACACAGAAAACGTGAAACAATGGGTGTTCCCATACACACTGTAAGGAGAGTGATCAGGTAAGGTGAGTTATTAGGCTTGAATAAAGACTGGGAGTGGATGGGTCATTACACAAAGTAAAACTATTTTCCCCATGTTTATTCCCCCCCCCCCCGCTGTTCCTCAGATGTTCTGGTCAATTGCTGGAAATGGCCCACCTTGATTATCACTACAAAAAGTCGTGGTGTCCCTGTCCATCCCCATCCCCCACCCCCCACTGGTAATAGCTCACCTTACCTGATCAGCAGACTGAGGTAGGCTCCTGGTCTGGAACAGCTTGGCCAGGGCAACTCCATGGGTACGGGAAAAGGCAGGAGCAGCAGTGGATCAGGGTAGCAACAGGAGGGGCATTCCTGTCCCAGAGGTATGTAGCAGCATCCCCTTGAACACAGTGCCCTGGTGTGCGATTAACGCTTTTTTTTAAAAAAAAAAAACAAAACACAAAAAACTCATTAATTTGTGTTGAGTTAATTGTATGCATTAATGCTGATTAATTGACAGCCCTATTTACAACCTACTGCTTTACAACTTGTAATTACTCTCATCAAATATTCTATACAAAGCATGAACCACAATAACACTTTTATACACTTTTCAAATATAGCACAAAAGAAAACAGCATAGAATATTAAAGTGAAATAGAAGTTATAAAGCTGTATTCCAGAGTCTCTGTAAATATCGCTAAGAGTTTAAGATCTTCAAGAGCAAAGTCATGTTTATCTTTTCTAACACTTGCTTGTCCTTGGGAAATAAAGTAGAAGTTTCCTGGAATTCCTTTGGTTCGCTTGACTATTTCACATAACGAAATAAAAATGTAGGCATATTGAGGTACCTTTTTTCTATAAGCATTATCTGTATGAAAGTAATGATAAATATATTGTAACTTTTTCAGTAAAGGCACAGGCAAATTTCATGACCTAATATTAAAATTACAATTTTTTAAAATTTTTGCATCAATATTCAGATCTCTCCCCCACAGTCTGCTTCAGTAACAAAAGGATTCAGTGTCAGTGAAGGTTTTATTACAGGCATGTAGCACAATACTGTTAATTGATGTGTTTGACCCTGTAGGCTTTCTCAGGCAGTCTTCATGGAAATTGGTCTTCTGTGAATGGAAGTGAACCTCATAGGTAGAGTAGCTCCCCAAAGTAAACATTTTTAAAATGTATTAAAATACCTGTTTTATATTAGTTTTCCATGGTCCCTGTAGGCTGGTCTTGGTGTGTTTTGTGTTCCAGCTTACTGTATATTCAGTTTATGCAGGTACACTGTATTCAAGGAGCTGCCCTGTGCCAATTGTTGGCCAAGACAACTTGTGGGACTGATGAGGATTTGGGTAGTTCATTCATCCTCTCATTTCTTTCTGCATAATGGCCTGGACATGATATACTTGATCATATATAAATCATTACATAGATTACATAGAACATATGTAATGGAGCAATAGTGTTCAGTGACATTCGGGCCACCTTCCAGATAATCTGTTAGACCAGATTTAAATCCAGAATTCTCTCAATGTAGTTAATATCAGAAGTATTTTCCTCTTTTGGAGAGTGAATATGTGGACCCTGCCTCCCTTTCCTCAACAGTTTTATCTGAATTTGATTATATTTTGCAAATGGAACCACCTGAGTCCAGAAAATGCTGGCTGTGTAGCTGGTAATTCCAGAGTTGATTCTGTGCATCCACTAATGACTTCAAAGTGCTTCATTCCCTGGGACTGAGTGTGCTGATTCCATAACACTTTGAGTTCCTGCTTGCTCGGAAGCAGTGCGCAGACTAAGATCTTAGTGTGACATCATGCTGCCCTGCAGTTAGGTAGGCTGATTGGTTCTTCTAATTCTAACTTGCATCTAAAAAAAAAAAAATAGGTATCCATAGTTTGACTTGTGTGTGTTTTTCAGTAAGATTACAGACGACCTAATGAGGTTGTATCATAAAATTATGAGATAACTATTACAATTATCAAAGTCTTTAACTAACTTACTAGAGAGGTAGTAAAGTAACCACTTATTTTCATCTGCAGTTGTTCTCTTCGCCTGTTTGTTGTGTTGGGCTCTCATATGATGTTTTTCTGCAAGATTTAATAATCTTTAAATCCTTAAAGTTTTGGCTGTAGCAAGCCATTTGTAGACGAAGCAAATATTTCATTACTTATAATTCAGTATCTTCGTTATGCATATACTTATCTATATATACACCATTAGAGCTTATACTAAATTTGAAAATTGATTAAATAATTACTGACTTTGGCAACAGTCAAATGCATAATTCTGCCTGCATAGCCTTTGACCTTTTCCTTCCCCCAGAAAAATACTGTATATAGCGTAATCATATATTTAATAACCTAGTTTAACTGTAAGTCCTGAATAAAATACTGGGCTTTATGTCATAAAGCCAAAATAAACTCTGCAAACCAAAAGAGAGTGGCTGAAATTCTGTAAGGGTCTCTTAAATAATTTTTTTCCCTGTAATTCTATCAAATTCGGATTTCATATTTCTGATAATTTACAGTAACAATGAGATCAGGTTTGTGTGTAACACAGGTACATTTGAGTTTAAAAGGAGGGATCTAATAACGAAGCACACTAGATGGGTATGTTTCATATTATATCAGTGCTTGTCTACATCTGCCCGACGAGCAAAGTTTCCATGACTATGGAGAGTTTATATTGTCATTCATATAGCTGTAATTTTAATGTTTTGTTCTGTTTTTTAAAAAGAAAACTTAATACTCTTCATTTTTAGGAAGATCTAAGCGAAAGAGTATTACAAGGAGATGAACTTCCAGGCCATGTGGGTTCTGCATGCCTCTTATCCTCCACGATTGCAGAACTGGGAAAGAGTGCTGGAATTCTCACACTTCCTATTATGAGTAGAATTTCAAGAAAAACCATTGGAAAAGTAAGAGGTATGATTGATACAAAACAAGAACTTCAATATAAGCTACCTTAAAATTAGACTGACAGTTTTGTTTAAAGTGCTGTGTTTGGCCATTTAATCCAATGATTTCATAATGCATAGCCTAATGTGTTAGAAATTACCTCCATTTAATTTCTGTTTCTTCATTCTGAGATGGCTGTGGTGGTATTTAAAGATAATTTCCTAGCATGAGTGCATAGTTACTGTACATCAGGGAATTCTGTAGACTTGCAGTAAATTCTCAAGTGCAGTGGCTCTGAATCAGCTCCGGAGATATAGCCGGACTGCTTTACTTAAAACCATCACCTTTTTATGACATTCAAAACAATAAGAAAAGGAGTACTTGTGGCACCTTAGAGACTAACCAATTTATTTGAGCATAAGCTTTCGTGAGCTACAGCTCACTTCATCAGATGCATGCTGTGGAAACTGCAGAAGACATTATATACACAGAGACCATGAAACAATACCTCCTCCCACCCCACTCTCCCACCACACGATCCATCGTCTACAGCCAAGCTCTGCGATACAACCGCATTTGCTCCAACCCCTCAGACAGAGACAAACACCTACAAGATCTCTATCAAGCATTCTTGCAACTACAATACCCGCCTGCGGAAGTGAAGAAACAGATTGATAGAGCCAGAAGACTTCCCAGAAGTCACCTACTACAGGACAGGCCTAGCAAAGAGAATAACAGAACGCCACTAGCCGTCACCTTCAGCCCCCAACTAAAACCCCTCCAACGCATTATTAAGGATCTACAACCTATCCTGAAGGATGACCCAACGCTCTCTCAAATCTTGGGAGACAGGCCAGTCCTTGCCTACAGACAGCCCCCCACCCTGAAGCAAATACTCCCCAACAACCACATACCACACAACAGAACCACTAACCCAGGAACCTATCCTTGCAACAAAGCCCGTTGCCAACTGTGCCCACATATCTATTCAGGGGACACCTTCACAGGGCCTAATAACATCAGCCACACTATCAGAGGCTCGTTCACCTGCACATTCACCAATGTGATATATGCCATCATGTGCCAGCAATGCCCCTCTGCCATGTACATTGGCCAAACTGGACAGTCTCTATGCAAAAGAATAAATGGACACAAGTCACAAGTCAGATATCAAGAATTATAACATTCATAAACCAGTCGGAGAACACTTCAGTCTCTCTGGTCACGCAATCACAGACATGAAGGTCGCTATCTTACAACAAAAAAACTTCAAATCCAGACTCCAGCGAGAAACTGCTGAATTGGAATTCATTTGCAAATTGGATACTATTAATTTAGGCTTAAATAGAGACTGGGAGTGGCTAAGTCATTATGCAAGGTAGCCTATTTCCCCTTGTTTTTTCCTACCCCCCTCCCCCCAGATGTTCTGGTTAAACTTGGATTTATGCTGGAAATGGCCCATCTTGATTATCATACACCTTGTAAGGAGAGTGATCACTTTAGATAAGCTATTACCAGCAGGAGAGTGGGGTGGGAGGATGTATTGTTTCATGGTCTGTGTATATAATGTCTTCTGCAGTTTCCAGAGTATGCATCCGATGAAGTGAGCTGTAGCTCACGAAAGCTCATGCTCAAATAAATTGGTTAGTCTCTAAGAGCCACAAGTACTCCTTTTTCTTTTTGCGAATACAGACTAACACGGCTGCTACTCTGAAACAATTCAAAACAATGTTTGTTTTCTTTATAGTGGACTATATAATTATAAAGCCGATCTCAGGATACAGTTGTGATATGATAGCTTCATATGCTAAATACTGGAAACCAAGAACAACACTAGATGTTGGACATAGGGGCGCAGGAAACTCTACAACAACTACCAAGTAAGTTCACGTGTCCTGAATTGTGATACTTTGTTGAGTCCCACCTACTTCATTTTTGTAGGTATCCAATTGTGTAAATAGGTTTGCCAGGTCAATTTTTATGAAAAACTCATAGTTGATTTTAAGTGATTTTATTCTAAATTTGAGTGTTCCTTTAAAACTCAAATTGCGTGTGTGTGTGCACAGTCTTACTCTTAACAATTTTTTCCTCTGTTTCTATTTCAGACTCGCTAAAGTGCAGGAGAACACTGTTGCTTCTCTGCGGAATGCTGCTAGCCATGTACGTGTGGGTGTATATGAAAACAAGCTATTTGTTGTGATATGTTGTGTTGAGGATCTAGTGATTCAGCAGTTCAGTCAGGAAAATGTTAAGTGAAAAGAATAGTCAAATACACAAAATATGGAGCTTTGATAGCAACTCCATAGGCATGGTTGTTACTTTCTTTTATAAGCTCACTTTTTAGACTTTCGTCCTCAAACTCACCTTTCCACCTTAAAAGGAACATCTGAAAATTTTAACACATGGAGAACTTTAGAGAGCTAACCCCAAATCCTACAAAGACTCACATGTAGTGAGTAACTTTAAGCATGTGAGTAGCCTACTGAAGGCAATAGGCAATATTCTGACTCTGAAATCCCATGGATAAACTTGCACTGACTTCAGTAGGGCCGGGATTTCATCTGGTGGGGACTGGTCGAGTATATAAAGTTGATTTGCATAAGTCTTTGCAGGTTTGTGGCCTCTGAGGTTAATTGGAAAAGACATTTTGGAGATGAGTTTGAAAAATTAAATCTTTCATTTTTTCAAAATGTGTGTGATATTGAAGTCTAATTTTTACTTGTTTTCAATGAGAACTAGTACCTCTGACATTTTAAAGATTGGATGGTTAATTTGGGGGATATTCATTTAGAATTCACAGTGAGGATATTCTGTCATTTAGTCTGAGGTTGCATTCAGACTTCTTTCCTGTCCAAAGATCCTGATCTGAGGACAGGTATGTCTACACTGCCCACATTAGTGTGGCCGCAGCAGCTGTGACATGGGCAGTGTAGACACGCTTTATCGCTGGGGGAGAGCGCTCCTGGTGACTTTTAAAAACAAAACACAAATACCGCCCCGACCGACTAAAGTTCTAGCGCTGGAAGTGGCAGTGTAGACACAGCCTAAGATGAAGGAAGTGTTAATGGACTCAAGGACTGAAAGGAAGGTGGTAAGCAGGTTGGGATGTCTTGTCCCACTCCATTTTCACACTGAGAATGAGGTGAGGCTCTTGAGGAGATGCTGCTGTGAGATTACGCATCCTTGAAAATCTGCTAGAAACAGACCTTTCTGATAGTTTCACTTCCTTGTCACTGTGCTCTCTCAGAGGTCTGTAGCTGAAAGGTGATTTCTGGGTGTTACTTTCTGCTGTGGCATAGTTAACTTGCTGTCTGAATGCCATGTCAATAATTGTAGTATGCAGCAGAGCAGGTTTCATTGCCTTCAGGGTTATTGCAGTCCAGATGTACTACAGATTCATGTTAAGGACTTTTAAGGAAAGTCGGATTTATTATTTCTTCTTTGAGTAGTGTCCCTATGGGTGCTCCGCTGTAGGTTTGTGTCCCTACACTGCTGATTGGAGAACTTTGATAGCCGTGTCTGTTCGGCCTCCGTTTGCCCTGCCTCCGCCGCGCCATCCCCTCTTTTCCCCGCACTCTGCTATGAGGCTAACCAGAGTTGTGTGGGCAAACTCTCCTCAGTTCCTTCTCAACCACCCGGGCTACCAAGGGAGCTTTCGCTGTCCGTTAGTGGATCTTAACTTCTTTAGAATTGTTAATTTTTCGCTACCTTTTTGGAGTTTTCCTTTCTCTTCTTCTTTATGTTTTATTCCCCCCCGAAAAAGCTTTCCTTTCTTTTCTCCTTTATCTTTTATTTACCAACCCCTCCCTTTATTTAGACTTAGTCTTTCTTCAACCCCCCTGTCTAGGGAACCCCCCTGGACAAGGTATGCCCAGTTCAGCAGGCTTCAAGACATGTCTCAGTTGCAAGGAATCTATCCCGATGACTGGCACACTCTCAGTGCATCCGCTGTCTGGTAGAGGACCACATTCCCCAGAAGTGTGGTTTATGCCAACAACTGAAGCCCAGATTCAGAAAGTATAGAGAACTGAGACTCAAGCTTCTCCTAATGGAGGTGGCCCTTCAACCACCCTCAGAGCCGTGCCAAGACCACAAAGGGTGGGAAGCCTCACCACAGCCCTCTACATCTAATGGTAGTGAGCCCAAGAAGGCAACCCTGAGCCACTCACACAAAGCCTTTTAGAAAAGGGCAGTGAGTTCCCACAGTGAGCCCCAACCAAGTTGAAAACAATCTCTGACTTGCTCAGTATTATCTGTATTAATCATAGAATCATAGAATATCAGGGTTGGAAGGGACCCCAGAAGGTCATCTAGTCCAACCCCCTGCTCGAAGCAGGACCAATTCCCAGTTAAATCATCCCAGCCAGGGCTTTGTCAAGCCTGACCTCAAAAACCTCTAAGGAAGGAGATTCTACCACCTCCCTAGGTAACGCATTCCAGTGTTTCACCACCCTCTTAGTGAAAAAGTTTTTCCTAATATCCAATCTAAACCTCCCCCACTGCAGCTTGAGACCATTACTCCTCGTTCTGTCATCTGATACCATTGAGAACAGTCTAGAGCCATCCTCTTTGGAACCCCCTTTCAGGTAGTTGAAAGCAGCTATCAAATCCCCCTCATTCTTCTCTTCTGCAGGCTAAACAATCCCAGCTCCCTCAGCCTCTCCTCATAACTCATGTGTTCCAGACCCCTAATCATTTTTGTTGCCCTTCGCTGGACTCTCTCCAATTTATCCACATCCTTCTTGAAGTGTGGGGCCCAAAACTGGACACAGTACTCCAGATGAGGCCTCACCAATGTCGAATACAGGGGAACGATCACGTCCCTCGATCTGCTCGCTATGCCGCTACTTATACATCCCAAAATGCCATTGGCCTTCTTGGCAACAAGGGCACACTGCTGACTCATATCCAGCTTCTCGTCCACTGTCACCCCTAGGTCCTTTTCCGCAGAACTGCTGCCTAGCCATTCGGTCCCTAGTCTGTAGCTGTGCATTGGGTTCTTCCGTCCTAAGTGCAGGACCCTGCACTTATCCTTATTGAACCTCATCAGATTTCTTTTGGCCCAATCCTCCAATTTGTCTAGGTCCTTCTGTATCCTATCCCTCCCCTCCAGCGTATCTACCACTCCTCCCAGTTTAGTATCATCCGCAAATTTGCTGAGAGTGCAATCCACACCATCCTCCCGATCATTTATGAAGATATTCAACAAAACCGGCCCCAGGACCGACCCTTGGGGCACTCCACTTGATACCGGCTGCCAACTAGACATGGAGCCATTGATAACTACCCGTTGAGCCCGACAATCTAGCCAGCTTTCTACCCACCTTGTAGTGCATTCATCCAGCCCATACTTCCTTAACTTGCTGACAAGAATACTGTGGGAGACCGTGTCAAAAGCTTTGCTAAAGTCAAGAAACAATACATCCACTGCTTTCCCTTCATCCACAGAACCAGTAATCTCATCATAGAAGGCGATTAGATTAGTCAGGCATGACCTTCCCTTGGTGAATCCATGCTGGCTGTTCCTGATCACTTTCCTCTCATGCAAGTGCTTCAGGATTGATTCTTTGAGGACCTGCTCCATGATTTTTCCAGGGACTGAAGTGAGGCTGACTGGCCTGTAGTTCCCAGGATCCTCCTTCTTCCCTTTTTTAAAGATTGGCACTACATTAGCCTTTTTCCAGTCATCCGGGACTTCCCGGTTCGCCACGAGTTTTCAAAGATAATGGCCAATGGCTCTGCAATCACAGCCGCCAGTTCCTTCAGCACTCTCGGATGCAACTCGTCCGGCCCCATGGACTTGTGCACGTCCAGCTTTTCTAAATAGTCCCTAACCACCTCTATCTCCACAGAGGGCTGTCCATCTCTTCCCCATTTTGTGATGCCCAGCGTAGCAGTCTGGGAGCTAACCTTGTTAGTGAAAACAAAGGCAAAAAAAGCATTGAGTACATTAGCTTTTCCACATCCTCTGTCACTAGTTTGCCTCCCTCATTCAGTAAGGGGCCCACACATTCCTTGGCTTTCTTCTTGTTGCCAACATACCTGAAGAAACCCTTCTTGTTACTCTTGACATCTCTGGCTAGCTGCAGCTCCAGGTGCGATTTGGCCCTCCTGATAACATTCCTACATGCCCGAGCAATATTTTTTATACTCTTCCCTGGTCATATGTCCAACCTTCCACTTCTTGTAAGCTTCTTTTTTATGTTTAAGATCCGCTAAGATTTCACCATTAAGCCAAGCTGGTCGCCTGCCATATTTACTATTCTTTCGACTCATCGGGATGGTTTGTCCCTGTAACCTCAACAGGGATTCCTTGAAATACAGCCAGCTCTCCTGGACTCCTTTCCCCTTCAAGTTAGTCCCCCAGGGGATCCTGGCCATCCGTTCCCTGAGGGAGTTGAAGTCTGCTTTCCTGAAGTCCAGGGTCCGTATCGTGCTGCTTACCTTTCTTCCCTGTGTCAGGATCCTGAACTCAACCAACTCATGGTCACTGCCTCCCAGATTCCCATCCACTTTTGCTTCCCCCACTAATTCTACCCAGTTTGTGAGCAGCAGGTCAAGAAAAGCGCCCCCTAGTTGGCTCCTCTAGCACTTGCGCCAGGAAATTGTCCCCTACGCTTTCCAAAAACTTCCTGGATTGTCTATGCACCGCTGTATTGCTCTCCCAGCAGATATCAGGAAAATTAAAGTCACCCATGAGAATCAGGGCATGCGATCCAGTAGCTTCCGTGAGCTGCCGGAAGAAAGCCTCATCCGCCTCATCCCCCTGGTCCGGTGGTCTATAGCAGACTCCCACCACTACATCACTCTTGTTGCACACACTTCTAAACTTAATCCAGAGACACTCAGGTTTTTCTGCAGTTTCGTACCGGAGCTCTGAGCAGTCATACTGCTCCCTTACATACAGTGCTACTCCCCCACCTTTTCTGCCCTGCCTGTCCTTCCTGAACAGTTTATATCCATCCATGACAGTACTCCAGTCATGTGAGTTATCCCACCAAGTCTCTGTTATTCCGATCACGTCATAGTTCTTTGACATCACCAGGACCTCCAGTTCTCCCTGCTTGTTTCCAAGGCTTTGTGCATTTGTATATAAGCACTTGAGATAACCTGTTGATCGCCCCTCATTCCCAGTATGAGGCAGGAGCCCTCCCCTCACA